CAAAGGTTTGGACACACCTACTCATTCAAGGGTTTTTGTTTATTTTTGACTATTTTTTACATTGTAGAATAACAGTGAAGACATCAAAACTATGATATAACACATATGGAATCATGTAGTAACCAAAAACATATTAAACAAATCAAAATATATTTTATATTCTTCAAATAGCCACCCTTTGCCTTGATGACAGCTTTGCACACTCTTGGCATTCGCTCAACCAGCTTCACCTGGAATGCTTTTTCAACAGTCTTGAAGGAGTTCCCACATATGCTGAGCACTTGTTGGCTGCTTTTCCTTCACTCTGCGGTCCGACTCATCCCAAACCATCTCAATTCGGTTGAGGTCGGGGGACTGTGGAGGCCAGGTCATCTGATGCAGCACTCCATCACTCTCCTTCTTGGTAAAATAGCCCAAACCAGATGGGATGGTGTATCACTGCAGAATGCTGTGGTAGCCATGCTGGTTAAGTGTGCCTTGAATTCTAAATAAATCACAGACCGTGTCACCAGCAAAGCACCCCCACACCATAACACCTCCCCCTCCATGCTTTACGGTGGGAACTACACATGCAGAGATCATCCGTTCACCCACACTGCGTCTCACAAAGACACGGCGGTTGGAACCAAAAATCTCAAATTTGGACTCCAGACCAAAGGACACATTTCCACCAGTCTGATGTCCATTGCTCGTATTTCTTGGCCCAAGCAGGTCTCTTCTTATTATTGGTGTCCTTTAGTAGTGGTTTCTTTGCAGCAATTCGACCATGAAGGCCTGTGTGATGCGTACTGAGTATACGAAGAGGCAGGACGCAGACGCAGGAATTAACAAGGTCAAGGTTTACTTAACAATGAGCAAGAGAAATAACAAAGATAGAGTAAACGACACGAAGCTAAACAATCACACACAACATCATCCAGAACAGTCCAGGGCTACATAGGGGTGGTGATGAGATGATGAGGTGCAGGTGCGCTGGAGGTGATCAGGGTGCGTTGGGTTTCCATTCCGGTGTAGCCGAGGTGGTGCGCTCAGACCAGTGGCTCAGTAGACCGGCGAATCAGAGCGCCGGAGGGGAGCAACGGGAGGAGACGTGACAGCCTGATTCACACAGCCCCCTCTGAACAGTTGATGTTGAGATGTGTCTGTGACTTGAACTCTGTGAAGCATTTATTTTAGCTGCAATTTCTGAGGCTTGTAACTCTAATGAACTTTTCCTCTGCAGCAGAGGTAACTCTGGGTCTTCCATTCCTGTGGCGGTCCTCATGAGAGACAGTTTCATCATAGCACTTGATGGTGTTTGCTACTACACTTGTAGAAACTTTCAAAGTTCTTGAATTGTTCCTTATTAACTTACCTTCATGTCTTAAAGTAATGATGGACTGTCATTTCTCTTTGCTTATTTGAGCTGTTCTTGCCTTAATATGGACTTGGTATTTTACCAAATAGGGCTATATTCTGTATACCCCCCTACCTTGTCACAACACAACTGATTGGCTCAAACACATTAAGAAGGAAAGAAATTCCACAAATTAACTTTTAACAAGGTACACCTGTTAATTGAAATGCATTCCAGGTGACTACCTCATGAAGCTGGTTGAGAGAATGCCAAGAGTTTGCAAAGCTGTCATCAAGGCAAGGGGTGGCTATTTGAAGAATTTCAAATATAAAATATATTTTGATTTTGTTTAACACTTTTCTGGTTACTACATGATTCCATATGTGTTATTTCATAGTTTTGATGTCTTCACTATTATTCTACAATGTAAAGAAAAGAAAGAAAACCCTTGAATGAGTAGGTGTGTCCAAACTTTTGACTGGTACTGTAAATCAGCCTTCTTTGGGCTTAATTGTGTTTTTAAATTCAATCAGTCAAAAAAACAATTAACCAATCAATCTGTCCATGTAAAGATGTGCAGCTTTGTTTGTCCTAACAGCTGTACTGTACCTACTGTACATTAATGTGTTCCTACCTTATACACTCATTTTCTCCATGCAAACAGGAGAAAAAAGGAATAAGGACGCACACAAACCCCGCCGCAGGACAGGCAGTGTTGGAAACGCCACCGAGTAAGCATCAGGCTTCCTGACCACTGAACAGTAGCAGGTCTTGGTCCTCCACTGCGCCTCCTGCTGCGAAGGCAGACCAACACAGGAATACAGTGAGTCGGCGGTTCTCTCTGATTTTAATGTTTCCCTTTCTCTTTCTGTTGTGCATGCTTTTTTGATTACTGAATGTTTATTGTATGTTTTATTAACTGTTTTATAGTGTTGACATGAAAGTGAGAATGCAACACAGTGTATGGTGAAGTCATCATGACGTCAGCTAATGTCTGTCCACTGCAGGGCAAATATCATGCAGTATCATCATATCATATGTGTCACTGCTGGGCAGAGAATCCATTCTAATTCTTACATTGCCGACATGGTAATGCAACATTATCTGATCCACTGTGAGACTTGACTTTGAAGTCTTTAATTATTTACAGATACAGGTGAATAGATTATAATGTGTTAGTAAATGTTGTAGCTAGACCGCATTGACTTTGGGGCCCTCCATGCTTCTTTCATTAGATCATTTCATATATAATATGACTAACAGGTGTGCTCTGAGCTCAAGCTAAATCCTTCATCTTCATCCTTAATGGTGTGATGCTTTTGTTTGAGGGCAGAGCATGTCAGTCTCATAGCTGCACTGTTTTGAATGTGTCATATGCTATTACCGGTCTCATGCCACATCTGTGAGGTAATAACCCAATGGCAAAGGTTTTATTATGGCAGCCTATTCCTTCGAGTGCACTATTTTTGACCAAAATCACACTGCAGAGCCACTCAGTAACCCTGAACTGACACCTGTCTCACAACACCGAAAGAGCAAGAGGGCTTGACGCCACATCAATTAAACCGCTGTTTTGACATTATTAATCCCATGTGATGTTGTGTGGCATTGTGTAGAGGTGGGATATGAATTGTGTTAAAATAAAGGCTAAACTCAAATTATTTATTTTTTACGCTTGAAAACCACTGCCATTAAACCATACGGTACAATAGTATTTTTTTAAGCGCATCAATTAAATGGAATGTGGCTTGAGATTTCACCGCTTGCTAAAAGGTGTGACTGACTCCCTTTTCACAATGGAACAGTTAGTTACTCAAATACTTTTGCTTTTCCTACCCTGTGCCCCTCTCACGTTCATTCTCAGGGGGCTCCGGCTGCAGCTTCATATGGCTTGCAGACTGCAGACTGAGGGCCCTGTGTTTAAACCAGAATTAGACATCTAATGTCTCAAAACAGCCACGATACATTTCACTTCTACTTGTCCCTCCTTGGTGGTCCCAACTCCTCTATTGAGACAGTACTGATTATAACACATTCCACAGATGGGATACGCAATGACCAGGGCATATGTCCAACTGACCGTATGTTTGTATGTACAGTATGTGGGTGTTATGCTTATTTAGCTATTCTAATGTATTAGATTAGATTCACAGGGATAAATGTTGGCCAGCTAGTGTGAGAAAGAGCACATACTGTGATCCAGTGAACTTTGAGTAGTCAAATATTGTGGTTGTATCCTACAGGGAGCATTTTTGTTACTACTTTTGCTTGGTCGCTTATTTGACTGTTGATATATGGTGGAGGCTGAGAAGGTGTCTGAGAATGCAGTTTCTGTGAACGCCTCAAGGGAGGTATTTCCCCCAAAACATCAGGAAAGGGAAGTTGCAGTTATTTTCTAATATTTCCTTAACTACTTCTACAGCTAAGTTACGGCTTGCCAAAGCTAAGCAAGGGCGTATATGAATAACAAGCTCAAAACTGTTAAAGTAATGACTGTGAATCAATGGATGACCATTTATTTTATCTGTCGTTATTATGGTTGACACGGATTTGGCAAGAGACCAGATGGTTGATGGATTGGATTCAAGAGATGGTACAGTTGAAGTCGGAAGTTTACATACACTTAAGTTGGAGTCATTAAAACTCGTTTTTCATTTTGGCAAGTAAGTTAGGACATCTACTTTGTGCATGACACAAGTAATTTTTCCAACAATTGTTTACAGACAGATTATTTCACTTATAATTCAATGTATCACAATTCCAGTGGGTCAGAAGTTTACATACACTAAGTTGACTGTGCCTTTAAACAGCTTGGAAAATTCCAGATAATGATGTCATGGCTTTAGAAGCTTCTGATAGGCTAATTGTGTGGATATATTTAAGTAACATGTCAAGACATCAGTCAGGAAGTTCAAGCTTGGTCGCAAATGGGTCTTCCAAATGGACAATGACCCCAAGCATACTTCCAAAATTGTGGCAAAATGGCTTAAGGACAACAAAGTCAAGGTATTGGAGTGGCCATCACAAAGCCCTGACCTCAATCCTATAGAAAATATGTGGGCAGAATTGAAAAAGTGTGTGCAAGCAACGAGGCCTACAAACCTGACTCAGTTACACCAGCTCTGTCAGGAGGAATGGGCCAACATTCACCCAACTTATTGTGGGAAGCTTGTGGAAGGCTACCCAAAACGTTTGACCCACGTTAAACAATTTAAAGGCAATGCTACCAAATACTAATTGAGTGTATGTAAACTTCTGCCCCAATGGGAATGTGATGAAAAAAATAAAAGCTGAAAGAAATAATTCTCTACTATTATTCTGACATTTCACATTCTTAAAATAAAGTGGTGATCCTAACTGACCTAAGACAGGGAATTTTTACTAGAATTAAATGTCAGGAATTGTGAAAAACTGATTTTAAATGTATTTGGCTAAGGTGTATGTAAACTTCTGACTTCAACTGTATATATCGACAGGAATCACTTCAAATAGAATTAAGATCTTATCCCCAAATGGCACCTTATTCCCTGTACAGTCTTCTATGGGCGCTGGCCAAAATGACTGCACTACATAGGGAATAGGGTGCCATTTGGGACGCAGGCTATAAAAGTGAAGTGCATTATCAAAACAATTTACAAAAAGTAATTATATCCTGTACAGAAATATGGGGGATGTGCAGCTTGTGACAACAACACAGATCTCCAAGACCAGCCTGACACTAGGCCGAGGTTCCCCAAGTCAGGAGCCTCCAGCCTTCACTCTCCCACCCCGCAATGCACGGGTCAGTCCGGGGGGGACAGCGCGGCTGGATGGGAAGGTATGGATCTCTCTCTCTCCTTCCGTCTCTCAAAATCCCCTTCTTTCCTCCTGACTTTGTACTGATTATATCTGTTTCTTTTCAACCCGCCCCAGCGTGTGTGAGTTCTGCATGTTGCATAATTTTCATTGTGTTTGGAGTGGAGGTGCTGAAGCGGACTTGTTGCCCTTGGGTCAAGGCCTGATGTTGACTCCCACCGCCTGTTAGCAGACAGAGGCTGTGCCAAGACTCCTTACTGTGCTGTTAACTGAGCACTCCTTGGCATCCCTCTCTGGGCATCACTGGGTTTAGGGGTTGATTTGGGATTGAGCATCAGTCTCCAGTTATCAGCTGACTCAATGTGGTCATTGAAGAGCAAGAAGGCTTTGTACAACAACAAAAAAAGAGTCTGAGAATGCTTTTCCCAACATGTAATTGAGGCTGACAGACAGTACTGTCAGGTCATTACATTTACATTACATTTTAGTCATTTAGCAGACACTTGATTTATCCCAATGGTCCTTTTGGAGAACACTGCTTAAATTTCCCATTTCAATCTGATTCAAGCATGGTTAATTGTTATCCTAACAAAGGAAGAAAACTCTTCCCATTTTTAAAAAAAAGTTTACAAACCGATAAATCTTAGGCTATACTTTTAAGAAGGCACTTAAAAAATTGGGAGGAAGTTATAGAGGTAGATTAAAGGTCTATCATGGGTGAAATGCTAGTCAAGAAGAGTAATATAATATATGCCATTTAGCAGATCCAAAGTTACTTACAGTCATGAATGCCTACATTTTTGTATTGGTGGCCCCAGTGAGAATCGAACCCATACACTACCTGCTGAGCCAGACAGGACCACATAATGCATTTATAAAGAATACTTTATTATTTTCATAACTATACCTCGAGAGTGTGGGTCTTTTGTTGTCTATTCTTTATTTGTTATCCCAAAACATGCATGATTTACACCGTCCACTGCACATGTCAACATCCCAGTCGAGCTACACCAACTCTCCAGTGGACTTGCTCCATGTTTGGAAACGTTCCATGTCGCCTTATGATGTTTTGACATCCCCCAGAGGATCGCCTCTGCTGCTCATATGCCCTAGTCTCAGTTCTTGTAAAGTCTCCCCACTGCTTTCCATGTTAAATGGATAGTTCACCCAAATTACAAAATGACATGTTGGTTTCCTTACCATGTAACCAGGCTATGGACAAGGTAATCCATGCTTTGGTTTTGTTTATCTGGCCACTGTCTCCAGATGCTAACATTTTATAACATTTTGTAGTTTGGGTGGACTATCGCTTTAACAACATGAAGGCAGTGTTATGGAAATGCATTGAGTGGGCTCTCTCTCTTAGATTGGAAAGGATATGTGATTAACAAGACTGTAGTGTTACAGAAAGCAGGCTCCTGTCACTTTGTGTTCACCTCCACTCGACCCATCCACCTGGTTTTCATTTGGCTTCTCTGTCTCTGATTTCGTTTGGTCGGAATGTTAAACCGTGTATTTTTCCATATATAGACACACCCTATGTTTGAATAAAAACAACTATATGTAGGCTACTGAGCTTGTCTGATGCTTTAAGCACTGAAATAAAAATGAAGACTCACAAATTACTAAAGAGGGAGCCAGAGATCAACATAGTCTAACCAGAAGGAAAAAACCTGTTCTGACCCGACCCCCCTCCTCCCGCTGCTGCTGCTGACCTATGCAGATTCTGCCATTAAGCTCCGGAAGTTGCCGGTAATAGGCTACACCAGCGGTCGGCAACCTTTTCCATTAAAGTGCTAAGTTATCGTACCATTTCTACTGCGTGCCAGTTATGATTTTCATATGCACATTTTCATGGAACAGTTTCATTTCATTTATAATAAAGTCTTCATATCTCAAAATCAATGTCAAGTGGTTAATAAAAATGATATCTAAATGAAATGATACAAATCTAAAAGTAACTTCTATTGCCATTTCCAATATGTAAAAATAACCTACATGAAGCCAACGAATAAAAACATTGCAGACTGCAGGTAGAAAATATCCTGATAAAAATAAATATCCTATAAATCACATTGGCCTGTCTGCAAAGAACTTGAAACATTGTATCAATTATTAACTTTCTAGCAAAATTGCAGCATTGTATAAAATATTCTGGGCCATCAGAGTTTCCTGCGCCAGTGAGCTGCTGACAGACCGACACAGCTGTAGGATATTTGCGCAAGTGATAAGATGTAATCAGGTAGGCCTATTTAATGACGTTTCCACCAGATCAGAGCATAAAAAATGTCTCCCCTTTCATGCTGAGTGGTTATCGAAAGAGAGAACTGGAAAGATTTTTCAAATAGGCTACATTGAGGAACTGTTGTCATTCTCAATTGATGTAAAAACAGACTTTTGTTTACTTGCTGTATGAGGCGAAGAAAAAATTACTTTGAGAAGCTCCACAGTGATGGTGAGTTAAGACAATCGGAAATAGGATCAGATCCCCAAATGGGCACATTTATAGGCCTACATTTGCGCGCAGGCCTGGTAGCCTAGGCCTACTTCTATGCGTAATCAGGTGTGTGTCCTTACTCAAGATTGACAGGAGCGCTCCAAACAAAAGACAATGAATAAATTGACAACTCGTAAATTAAATTAAATAAACCAAAACTTTTTTCTCACAAGTGTAGCCTAGGTTGTGCGCTCTGCAAACAACGTGTCCACTCCTACAATGACAATGGTAAGACTGTAATAATAATAGTAATATATTGAATGCATTAACAGAAATTACCGTAACAAAACAAACATTGTTGATTATAAATTATGGTAATTAATGGTAAATGTACTACTGGTGAGACTGGTGTGCCATCCCCGTGTGCCATCCCCGCAATGGATTAGTCCACTCAGACATGTGTGAATCAGACAGGTGTCTCCTGTGCCATAATTTTTGTATATATATTTGCCACTACTCAACAACAACAAATCTTGGTCGACCAACAGCCTATCGACCAAACAATCGACCAGTCGACTAAATGGGGTCAGCCCTAATCCAAACTACCTGTTTCTTTTTTGTTTAAAAACGTTGGACCTAAACCAACCAGTGCTCTCGACTAAGATGCAATGGGAATGTAAAAATCTCCCCTATCTTCAACTTTATCCGGCTTCTCTAACTTACCATCTTTGCATATGTGTAGCCGTCAATGAGCTTCCACATTCCGTCGATTTTTGCCTCTAATGTCTCATGGTTCTCTGATTACTCTCGCTGCCCGCAAACCCTTGTGGTCTGCTCCTAAAACACAGCGGGTAAGGCAGAGGAAATTGAAATATAAATGCCGCTGCAGAACCTGCCACTGCTGTCTGGAGCCAGGGAAGCTGCAGGAGCATAAAGCTGAATGCCTGGGACTGCTGAGTGAGTTAGAGAGGAGAACTGGACTGGCTTTGTGTCCAGTGACTGTACCTCAGACGCTCTGTCAGAATCCATTTAGCTGTGGTCACAGATGCTTAACACCACAGAGCACCACATGTTCACTGAGTCCAGGTTAACAGTGGCCAAAATGGCTGCCTGCCCTGAGTTAACCTGGCCTCTACAACAACACTAGGACCAGGCTGATGGCCATAGCAGTGGTGTCATGCTTTGAGTATTTGATGAAAAAAACTAAAGCCACTGCTGGTTCCTGATTGTTAGATAAATATACTACCTTGTTTAGCTTTATGTGGTCCTCTGTAGCTCAGCTGGTAGAGCACGGCGCTTGTAACGCCAAGGTAGTGGGTTCGATCCCCGGGACCACCCATACACAAAAATGTATGCACGCATGACTGTAAGTCGCTTTGGATAAAAGCGTCTGCTAAATGGCATATTATTATTATTATTATATACAGACTTGTTACATACAGTGGGGAAAAAAAGTATTTAGTCAGCCACCAATTGTGCAAGTTGGCCCATTCCTCCATGCAGATCTCCTCTAGAGCAGTGATGTTTTGGGGCTGTCGCTGGGCAACACGGACTTTCAACTCCCTCCAAAGATTTTCTATGGGGTTGAGATCTGGAGACTGGCTAGGCCACTCCAGGACCTTGAAATGCTTCTTACGAAGCCACTCCTTCATTGCCCGGGCGGTGTGTTTGGGATCATTGTCATGCTGAAAGACCCAGCCACGTTTCATCTTCAATGCCCTTGCTGATGGAAGGAGGTTTTCACTCAAAATCTCACGATACATGGCCCCATTCATTCTTTCCTTTACACGGATCAGTCGTCCTGGTCCCTTTGCAGAAAAACAGCCCCAAAGCATGATATTTCCACCCCCATGCTTCACAGTAGGTATGGTGTTCTTTGGATGCAACTCAGCATTCTTTGTCCTCCAAACACGACGAGTTGAGTTTTTACCAAAAAGCTATTTTTGTTTCATCTGACCATATGACATTCTCCCAATCCTCTTCTGGATCATCCAAATGCACTCTAGCAAACTTCAGACGGGTCTGGACATGTACTGGCTTAAGCAGGGGGACATGTCTGGCACTGCAGGATTTGAGTCCCTGGCGGCGTAGTGTGTTACTGATGGTAGGCTTTGTTACTTTGGTCCCAGCTCTCTGCAGGTAATTCACTAGGTCACCCCCGTGTGGTTCTGGGATTTTTGCTCACCGTTCTTGTGATCATTTTGACCCCACGGGGTGAGATCTTGCGTGGAGTCCCAGATCGAGGGAGATTATCAGTGGTCTTGTATGTCTTCCATTTCCTAATAATTGCTCCCACAGTTGATTTCTTCAAACCAAGCTGCTTACCTATTGCAGATTCAGTCTTCCCAGCCTGGTGCAGGTCTACAATTTTGTTTCTGGTGTCCTTTGACAGCTCTTTGGTCTTAGCCATAGTGGAGTTTGGAGTGTGACTGTTTGAGGTTGTGGACAGGTGTCTTTTATACTGATAACAAGTTCAAACAGGTGCCATTTAATACAGGTAACGAGTGGAGGACAGAGGAGCCTCTTAAAGAAGAAGTTACAGGTCTGTGGGAGCCAGAAATCTTGCTTGTTTGTAGGTGACCAAATACTTATTTTCCACCATAATTTGCAAATAAATTCATAAAAAATCCTACAATGTGATTTTCTGGAGAAAAAAAATCTCAATTTGTCTGTCATAGTTGACGTGTACCTATGATGAAAATTACAGGCCTCATCTTTTTAAGTGGGAGAACTTGCACAATTGGTGGCTGACTAAGTACTTTTTTTCCCCACTGTACATAGTTGCTAACATGTGTGCACCACCACTGCTACCTGTAATGCTCCACATGTCTAGGTCGCTCACACAGGAAACTAATCGCTCCTCCATGCGTCACCCTAATCTATGGGTTTATTTTCATTTGTCTAGAATGTATTTAAGATCTTAACAGATTCCAGTTGTATTGGATGAAATGTGAATAGGGACAAATCAAAAGGATCCTAGTTATGGTTGCAAAAGTCTGGTAACTTCCCCCAAATTCCCAGGTTTTCCAGAAATCCTGGTTGGAGTATTCCAGATTTCCTGCTTATTTCTTTCGGATTCCTGGAATCTTCCAACTGGGATTTCTGGAAAACCAGGGATTTTGAAAAAAAATTTGAAGAAAAAATAAAAAGTAATGTAAGTCGATAAGAGCGTCTGCTAAATGACTAAAATGTTAATGTATATTTTGGGAAAGTTGCGCTAGATCCAAGTAAGTCTCACCCTCATAATTCCCATGCTAAAGGATACACAGTTCTGACTGCTGTCGTGACAGTCCCCTGACATAATGTATGGAAGCGCGTCATTGAATTCCTCTGAAAATATTGAGATGGCCTGAAAATAGCTGCGTCGAGCAATTCTGGTCATTGACAGCAATACCTTTTTTCTGAGTTTTCTTATATTTCTCAGATATAGGATGGACACCTCAATCTTGTTTCTTATGATTAATTATTTTACTGTATATTTTGCCATTTATTCATGTGCTATTCAATGCGTTTCTATGGGCTATAGGAGTAAAGGCCAAATTCAATTTTTCGGCCCAAAAAATATATATATGTATTTTGTTATACCTAGAGGGGTCCTAAAATTGTAAATCAAATGGCTAAATGATACATTTTATGACCATTTTAAAACAATTCCATACGTTAGTTTAGTAGATATTGCGATTTAAGGACTTAGGCCTACATGGGTTAAGTCTGGAGCTGTTTCCTGTGAGTATAGAACAAACTGTTGCATTTGAAGGGGCTCCAGTTTGGGGAAACTATTCTTGTAGAACCCCATTATAGCACTCTTGTCTGAGATACTGATAATATACTGTAGGTTCATACACAGAGATCCTACTATGTAATTCTATGGGTTCATATAGGTTGATGTTGGGTATAGTCACCCACTGTGATATTGAAACTACTTTAATTAAGTACAGCTAACTTGAATATCGTTAATAAAGCTTTACTGTAAAACAGACAATGGAAAAACTTTCCCCAGGCAGACTGCTCGTCTGGTTCACTTCTGTTCTGGCACATTAACAATATGGATAAAACTGTTATTTAAAGTTCCTAAACACAGACAGCTGTGTCTGTTCCTCTCTTGCATTCTTGCGCTGCACATTGGACCAACAATAACAATACCTTCAGCTCTAATTCTCTAGCTCTTTCTGTAATGTTTTGGCGTTTTAACCTTCATACAGTAATATTTGTCTGATTCTAACACAATTTTACATTTCCATTACTGCTAAATGTGAGACATTACTGTTGATATCAAACTAACGATAAATCCAACATCTAACTAATGTAATTTGAAGCATGTGTATTTTTGTTTTGAGGACAGTCTAGCCTCTCCACTTCGTAGTCCTTTGTGATTGATTGGTTGGTTGTGATGAGGGTGAGATAGCCAGCAGTGCAGTGTCTGATTTAGTGCAGCCTGACTGTCCAGTGCTGAGCAGACCTGGGTTCAAATACTATTTGAAATCATTTCAAATACTTTATCTGTGCTTGGTTGAGATTGCATGGCTTAATGGACCAATAAAATAGTCCCAAAACTGTAAACTCTGCCCATCTGCAACTCCAGGCAGGCTAGAACAAATGCTCAAAGTATCTGAAAGAATTCAAATAGTATTTGAATCCAGGTCAGGTGCTGAGACCGAGTAGATCAATGGAATGCGTCTTCATAGGGATTAAAATATCTTAGTCTTGTGACTTGCTTCCTGAGGAATTTATTTTTTCAGAGCTACTGGAGCAGAAACCAGTCAGCTCCAGTTCTGCTTGGATGAGCTGAAACAATGCAGAATTTTTCTCCTTCAACAATTACAATATGGGCAGTTTTACAGTAGTACCTGAAACTGTGACGGCGCTAAAACATGGTTGTGTGCTGTGAGAGAATCTTGGTGAAGGAATTGTAGAAATACCCTAAGACGATAGGTTCTTCAGTATCAATGTGATGAAACACCTCAGACATCTGCCAGCCAAATGCTACAGGCACGCACACACACAGACACTTGAGGCGGCCTCCCACCACCTATGATTTACAGATCTTCAAACAAGGGTATCAAGTGCACAGATGTTTCCCGGCTCCCAGGAGGAGGTAATGTGTCAGGGAGTTTGTTACTTTGTTCTGTTGCTGTCCCAGGCAGCATCCATCACTACTGAAGGCAAGATCCATCACCTCTCCTTAGGACTGCATCCCAAATGGCACCCCATTCCCTATATAGTGCACTACTTTTGACCGGGGCCAATAGGCACTATATAGGGCGGAGGGTGCCATTCTTATGCTTGTCCAGATTGGAGCCTTTTCAAATGTACTGTGTTGCGTAGGGGAAACTTGATTTCTCTTTTATCAGAACTGTGCACGTTCTACTCTAGTCAGTGTTTCAGCCCAATGCAGATGATCATATGGTATCTGTCCTGCTTCTGGAGCTTTCTGGAAGGAGTTAGGCAACGATTATTTGTCTCCGGTCTTTGCCCAGGGGAGCTACTGGCTCTGCTAGGTTTCATTGCAGAGGGATGTTTGTGCTGTCTCCTCTCTGTTGATGTTCAATGGAAAAGAAAAACCAGAAGCTCTACCAGATCAGAGTTGGACAATATTGATGTGTAAATAAGTGTCCTGTGTGGCTCAGTTGGTTGAGCATGGCACTTGCAATGCCAGGGTTGTGGGTTCGATTCCCACGGGGGACCAGTACGAAAATGTATGCACTCACTACTGTAAGTCGCTCTGGATAAGAGCGTCTGCTAAATGACTAAAATGTAAATGTTGGTCAATGGGCGGTGTTTCAGGATTACTGATGTGGCATAATTGCATCCTCTCCTAAAAAGTATACACGAAATACATTCATAATATGTTTCCTTTGCCAGAATAGCAAGTGAAAACTCTTACTGGAATTGTAGTTCCATATATTCTACAGTAGACAGTGCAGTTGTCCATCGCTAACCAGCCTAGTGTCACCACATTTACAGTACATGGCCTTTCTCTTCCCGGCAGGCACGGTTTTTGTCATGCTCCAGAGCCATGTTCTCAATGAGAGGGGATGCTCCTGTGAAGACAAGGAATGTCCACCAGCATGGAGGCAGGCATCTGACATGCCTCCAGCCTCTCTCTCCCCAGCCTCCTAGTCATTTAATGGCCTTCCAAGGGAAGAAAAATGCTATATTACATAATTACGAGCCAGTAGGAAAATATAGGGGGAACAGCATGCGAGGGAGGCTGTGAAAGGTATGCCGCCAGAAACCTGATGGTGGCTGAAAGTGCTCGCCTATTGAAAGCAGATGTGGACCACTGCTAGGCTATTCCTACAAGGCTCCACCCTCACTCACCGCTCAGCTCACTCCTCTGACCAGTGTTGGAGAAGCGGACATCTTTCTTCTTCTGCTGGTTACATTCAAATGTTATATTGGTTAATGGCGTACATTGTCGATATTGGCTACATTTTGAAGGCCTTCTTCATCGTCTCATCCATCCACTAGCCATTGTTAGGAATGGTAGTTAAACACTGGTGATTGTCTTTTGCATGTGTAATTCATAGCAGCTATTTGGCAGTGTGGCTTGACAGTGTCAGCGAAGCCAGGAAAAATAAAAGCTTGATGTGATGAAGACATCAGGTTTTGTTGAAACAACAGTCAAATACTTCATTATTTTCCTTGCAATGGAATGTTAGTTCAGGATTAAACATTAACTCCATGTCCTTAAGTGATGTGGGATTCCTCACCATCATGTGGACAGTGGCTATTCACAGCACTGTGAGAGTCAACTTATTGATCACTCAACATCATCAAATGACCAGACAATGCTCGGTTGTGGCGTTATCAGTTTTTCTATCTGGGAATAGGGTGCCATTTGGGACGCAAACATACTGTATTCTGACCCCATCCAGTGGTAGAAATCACAACTTTGTGTGATGTATGCTACGATGCAGGTGGGAACACATGAATAGGTTCTGATGTATGTCCATTGAGCCAGCGGACAATTATTCTCCTAGAGTCTCCGTCAGAGGCCAACGCCAGCAGTAATCCACTGCAGGTGTCTTCCAGAATACAAAGTTGAAAAGTCATTCTGAGTACAAGACGTTAGAGAATTACTGGGACAAATAAACCACAGGCCTATTTCTTGGGGAATGAAAAAGACAAGGGGTTCGTCCCAAATAGCACCCTATTCCGTATATACTGCACTACTTTTGACTAAAGCCCTGGTCAAAAGTAGTGCACTAAATGGGGAATAGGCTGCCATTTGGGACGTAGACAAGAAAACAACAGATCATGTTATTGATTTGGAGCAGCGACTGGTCTAAAGACACGAGGGATCAAAATGTCCTTTCTAGTTGCTTCACATGGAAACAGTGCTGGTGGAAATCGCTGCTTATATGATTAAACTAACAAACTTTGTAGCTTCCCTTTAATCAGTTTCTCTCTTCATTACGAGGGGATCAAGACCGCTTTTATCCCATAAGAATTAGCCTTGTTATAACAAGCAGTACCCTTGTTGTGGTGATACATTGGGTTCCAGTAGCATGACTCAAAAAGAACTAGAGAGAATATTCCTGGCTTTGTTCCCTTTTTACTTGTCTTCTTCTTGCATTCTTGGGTATTTTGGTAGTCTTTAGAAGCTAGGTTCATATGTTCTGGCTGGATCAGCAATCAGGGCCCCTCCTCTGCTGTCAGTGCATTGGACCATAGTGTTGTCACAACCTTTGTTTTCAACCCGTATTCTCTTTGTACTTGTGTCTGTTTTCTGGCTTGTAGAAACTTGACTCGGTGTGTAAACAACCCAGTGTTTTTCCTATACTCCGCATGTGAACTTGGTCATTTGGGATGTTTGAGGCCCAGAGCTTGACCACAAGAAGCTTTAGGAACGAGAAGTCTGAAGTCTGCTCGAAATTTCTGTGGCACTGAGCGTCAAGCAGCTGAGTTTTCAAGGAAATGCCAGTGTCTGTTTGATTTAATAACGACTTTAAACCTAATACTGCTATTTTTGGGCAAGCCTTCGGAGGACCGGGTACAACAGAGGTAATATTTGATTGAAACTGAGTGAGGCTAGTTTGACAGGCTGGAATGTGAGTGGTCGATTACAGAGCAAGGCTGGACTTTCCTGCTTTTTTAGCTTGCCTCAGAATTTTGTGTTCCATATGGAGTCATTCTGTTATTTACTAGCTGTCGAGCCATATTCATTTGCATGTTCAATCTGAAATGCGTTGCAGCGGTTAACAATTTCGCTTTCTCATTTGTTTTTCTGTTAATTCAAAACAAGTTGTCTTTGTGAGGGGCTTGTATTGGATTGCAGAGTTTGGGTTTACCATGGTTCTCCTCCGAAATACAATGTTTAAAGTCCCCGGGGTGCAAGGCGAGGATTGTTGGCATGCCACCAGTGGAAACACAGAGTGGGAGAGAGAAAGAGAGCCCATCCACTGTCCTTATTAGCTGTGGCCTCCGCCTGCAGATTTGTGATGCTTCAAAGACTTCTGAGAAAACAAGCTGTAGTGAGATTAGGGAAGTCAACTAGAACTGAGATGAGTCAGAGAAAGGTGGGAAACCTCCTTTCAGATATACGGGGAATGTTAGAGGTGTTTAACAGATCTTCTGTACCTGTTCATCTCTGCTAGTTAACTTCCTGTACTGTTTCAGCACCCGTGCTGTACTCCACTCTTGACAAGTGGCATGTTGAGTGATGGCTACTGACCTGGGCCATGTCGGGAAAAGAGCAGAGAGAGAATTGAAATGTCAGAAAGGACTAAGAACTTGAGTAATGCAGTATGCGCTAAGGAAAAGGAAAGAAGTTGGGGAAATTAGGTTTAGTTGGAAACCATAACACAGGGATAATAAAACAATGTATTTTTTGTATTCTAGGAAGTAGGAAACATTGAGGGTAATCAGTAGCTTTCCATTTCACTTGCTAGTTACTGATATCAATGCTTATCATTTGTGTTTTTGTAAATATCATTGATTTGTATCAGTTTTAATTAGGCTATGGGCCACTGATTGTCAGTTTCACACACCCAGTGAGTTCCTGTGCTCTGACTCCAATTGTATTGAGAAGATTAGGATAATGAAAATGGTGGAAGTGAACACACACTATGCATTTGTGCCCACATAGAGATTGTCACGGAGCTGGTGCCCTAATATTTTGACCTGCTCATTAAAAACCAATTGTTGCTTATGAAAACCGTTTGTTGATTATGATAAGTGTTATGTTCATGGAAATGTGATACCTACACTGAGTGTACAAAACATTAGGAACATCTTCCTAATATTGAGTTGCAACCCCTTTTGCCCTCAGAACAGCCTCAATTTGTCGGGGCATGGACTCTACAAGGTGTCGAAAGTGTTCAATAGGTATGCAAGCCCATGTTGACTCCTATGCTTCCCACAGTTGTTAAGTTGGCTGGATGTCATTTGGGTGGTGAGCCATTCTTGATACACACGGGAAACTGTTGAGCATGAAAAACCCAGCAGCGTTGCAGTTCTTGACACAATTGTCTCAAGGCTTCAAAATCTTTCTTTAACCTGTCTACTCCCCTTCATCTACAAGTGGATTTAACAGGTGACATCGACAAGGGATCATAGCTTTAACCTGGATTCACCTGGTCAGTCTGTCATGGAAAGAGCATATTGTACATACTGTATGTTTCTATGGCTTATTTCCCATCCTCACTGTAAATAAACGCCTCTTCCTGGACATTGCACCGCTACCAACTTGTCTGAAAACCTCCACCATGCCACTTCACAGGGATAATATTGTTGATTTAACCGTATCAACTGTTTTGTTTCAACCATGACCATTAACCACTGATGCTCTATTATGTTTTGTATAGTTAAAATCCACTGAGGTACATTCATCTATTCCCAGGTGAGAGGGCACCCTGAGCCCCAGGTCACGTGGTCCAGGAATGGGAAAGCAGTGATAGCTGGAGAGCGGTTTGTCATGGAACAGAGTAACCGTGGAACATTCAGCCTGGTGGTCCATGGTGTCCAGGAGGAGGATGCAGGGCGTTACACATGTGAGGCCGGCAACGATGCTGGGAGCCGCCAGGTCACAGTGGAGATCACTGTAGAAGGTACAGCCGCAGCTCCTGTACTGTCCAATAAACAATGTCCCAAATGGCACCCTATTCCCTATATAGTGCATTACTGTTGACCAGAGCCTGCGATAGGGCTCTGTCCAGAAGTAGTGTACTATATAGGGTGTTATTTGGAAGGCAACCTAACCCTCTCCATCAGCCAATCAGAAATAATAGCATGGTCTGTTGACAAATAATTGGGCAGGGTCCACTGCCTTTGTATCTCCTTTGAAATGTAGCATAGACTGTAGACTGGGAAATGTGCACGGCCTCAATAGCTCATGTGAAATTAAACCAAGACTGCGCCAGGTATTTTAAACGGCACCACATTTATTTTACTCCGTAAAATATATGTCCTATCATACGTATTGTACATAGGCTTTTATGCTGTTCCCAAGTGATGTTTTAACTCTATGTAATGATAGGAATAAGGTTTAATATTTTCTAATTCCCTGTTCAGAAGGAACTCATTAGAGTAACCGATGGCAAAGGCAACAGAGGTTTCGTCCCAAATGTCCCCCTATTCTCTATACTGTATAGTGCACTACTTTTGACCATAGCCCTATAGGCCCTGGTCAAAAGTAGTGCACTAAATAAGGAATCTGGTGCCATTTGGGATGCTGCCATTTATAATGTCCACATGGAAGGCTTCAGGAACTTTTTCTTCCTGTTAGCATAAGTGGTATTGAAACATTTTGATTTTCAAATTCCTTTGTGTATACCATGCCAGCTGTGCCTTTTCCATTTCCAATGGTTACACTGTGGATACTTAGGTTACATTATGCATGAAAGAGGGGGGCTAGCACCTACTACTTTCCAGGGAGAAATATGTAAACATTGATGTCCTCCACATTTGTTCAGCTTTACAAGATCATAAACAGCTATTTGGCCACCTCTGGCTCACTGAACACTAACAGAAACATATGGAGCATGCCCTCTGTAACAAGGGGCATTGTACTGAGATCTGAAGCATTTTTCAAAACTGCACAGTGCACATTCATTTACATTACGTGCTGCTGGACTTGCACCAGCAATATATTCTCTGTCTGTCTCCCCAATGGCACCCTATTCCTTATATAGTGCACTACTTAGGGAATAGGATGCCATTTGGGACGCATCTGATGTTTCTTATTCATTATCTGAGGCATGTTTTCCATCTCTCATAGGGAACACAGGGAAGAAATACAGCCTCCCCTCCTCCAGTAAAACAGGGTAAGATCTATGTCTGCGTCCCAAATGGCACCCTATTCCCTATATAGTACACTACTTTTGACCAGCACCTTATACACCCTTGTCAAACGTAATGTACTATATAGTGAATAGGGTGCCAGTTGGAGCGCATCCTTTCTTTGCAAATGGTGGTATCATGGTGGTATTTAAATCAACCTTCCCTGTTTCATCGTTCTATCCCTTGATGTAGTTTATTTTTTTCCGAATATTGTTAATCAAAATGCAATCTAAATATTGGGGTGGCTGCGGATCCGACTTTTTCGGGATCTTTAGTCCGCTGCACTAAAAGATCCGGAGCTTCCCGAAGCTTTTGCGCATGTGCGGATCACATTCGTGCATGTGTATGTTCTCTATACGCAGAGAACAGGCTGCTCAGACGAATGGTAATGGTGCTCGTTTAATAAAGTTAGATCAAAGCTGAATCAATGTATGCAACGGTGGCGATCTGTGTCATTTAAGATTAGGGAGGACGTTTTTTTAAATGAGCATTGCCTTATTTCTATACAGCATATTGGATGACTGTCATTCATATTCCATTCATCCAGCTCAATGTAACATCGATAGATTTAGGCTACTACATGAGGTTGCTACAACCTAGCCTACAAATGAAAAGTTTATAACATAGGTGCACAGGTCAAGAGACAAATTGGAGTAATCAAGGTGACAGTCAGTGAAACATTCAATACCGCCTTGCACACTGCTGCATCTAGCTGATCTGGGGTGTAATGATTAGTCCAAACAGATTCAAAATGTTCATGCTTATGTATGTGAGGGATTTGTGTCGGAGTGACAGTGTAGTGTGAGTGTGTATATGGTGTGTGTATATAAAGTCTAGTGAGTGTGCTTTGGGTCAGTGTAAGATAGTCAGTGCAGGTAGTTCGGGTACCATTGATTGACTATTTAGCAGTCTGGCTATTTAGCAGTCTTATGGCTTGGGGGTAGAAGCTGTCTCCGAGCCTGTTGGTCCGATAGCCGATGCTCCGGTACCGTTTGCCAGACGGTAGCAGAGTGAACAGTCTTTTCGGTCCTTCCTCTGACACCGCCTGATATAGAGGTACTGGATGGCAGGGAGCTCAGCCCCAGTGATGTACTGGGATGTCCGCACCACCCTTTGTAGCGCTTTGCAGTCAAGGGCGGTGCAATTGCCATACCAAGCGGCGATGCAGACAGTCAAGATGCTCTCGATGGTGCAGAGGGCCCATGCCAAATCTTTTCAGCCTCCTGAGGGGAAGAGGCGCAGGCGTGCCCTCTTCACGACTGTGCGGGTGTGTGTGGAGCATGTTAAGTCCTTAGTGATGTGGACGCCAAGGAACTTAAAGCTCTCGGCCCGCTCCACAACAGCGCCGTTGATGTGGATGGGGGCGTGCGCTCCCCTCTTTCTCCTATAGTCCACAATCATCTCATTGGTCTTACTGACGTTGAGGGAGAGGTTGTTGTCCTGGCACCACACTGCCAAGTGTCTGACCTCCTGTAGGCTGACTCATCGCCGTCGGTGATCAGCCCTACCACCGTTGTGTCGTCAGCGAACTTGATGATGGTGCTGGGGTCGTGCGCGGCCACACAGTCATGGGTGAACAGGGAGTACAGGAGGGGACTAAGCACGAACCCCTGAGGGGCCCCGTGTTGAAGGTCAGCGTGGCAGAGTTGTTGTTGCCTACCCTTACCGCCGGGGCCAAACTGTCAGGAAGTCCAGGATCCAGTTGCAGAGGGAGGTGTTCAGTCCCTTGGTGATGAGCTTGGAGGGGACTATGGTGTTGAACGCTGAGCTGTAGTCCATGAACAGCATTCTCACATAGTTATTTCCCCTCTTGTCCAGGTGGGAGAGGGCAGTGTGAAGTGCAATTGAGATTGCGTCATCTGTGGATCTGTTGGGGCGGTATGCAAATTGGAGTGGGTCTGGGATGATGGTGTTGATGTTTGTCATGACCAGTCTTTCAAAGCACTAATTACAGATCTGAGTGCTACAGGGTGGTAGACATTTAGGCAGGTTACCTTGGAGCTCTTGGGAACAGGTAGGTTCGCAGATTAGCTTCCCTGAGACAGTTTCTGACAGTTTGTGCAGAAATTCGGTTGTTCAAACCCACAGTTTCATCAGCTGTCCGGGTGGCTGGTCTCAGACGATCCCGCAGGTAAAGAAGCCGGATGTGGAGGTCCTGGGCTGGCGTGGTTACACGTGGTCTGCGGTTGTGAAGCAGGTTGGACAAACTGCCAAATTTTCTAAAACGACATTGGAGGCGGCTTATGGTAGAAAAATGTACATTCAATTCTCTGGCAACAGCTCTGGTGGACATTACCCCGAAATGATTTGATAAAGAGAAAATTTGCACCTGGTGTATTCTACTATCCTTACCCTCAATAGTAAGTTAAGACCCTGGCAGAGTTCCCCTAGCGGCCGGGGACCCTAAGCAACCGCTTATGGCGGCAGGTAGCTTAGTGGGTAAGAGAGTTGTGCCAGTAACCGAAAGGTCGCTGGTTCTAATCCCTGAGCCGACTAGGTGAAAAATCTGTCTGTGCCCTTGAGCAAGGCACTTAACCCTAATTGCTCCTGTAAGTCGCTCTGGATAAGAGCGTCTGCTAAATGACTAAAAATGTAAAATGTTATGCCTGGAACCGACCCTGCATTGATATTTCACCTGTAAAACTTGAAGAATGATCATGCATGATTGAATGCGGTGATGGTTTTGTCTTACAGTAACGTTATACTATGCTATTATTCGGATCGGTTATGTAGAATACTGTCTCATCATGTGATCTTGCAGACATTGATTCAGCTTTGATCTAACTTTATTAACCGAGCACCATTCACCTGAGTAGCCTGTTCTCTGTGCTTAAAGTAGAGAGTATATACACTAAGTATACAAAACATTAAGGACACCTGCTATTTCCATGACATAGACTGACCAGGTGAAAGCTATGATCAGGTTAAAGAAGGATTTCTAAGCCTTCTAACTCAATATTAGGAAGGTGTTCCTAATGTTTGGTATACTCAGTGTACATGCGCAGAACATGATCCGCACATACGTAGAAGCTTCAGGAAGCTCCGGGTCTTTGGGTGCTGCCGACTAAAGATCCCGAACAAGTCTGATGGGCAGCCACGGCCTATAACTATAGTGAGTCAGTCACTCATATTACTATATTAAGTCATTATTCAAATGGAATTTGTTTGTTCAAGTGGTGTTTTTGAGCAGACACATATTTGGATGCTGAGGTAGTAAGTGGTTGTGTTTTCTCTGACTCCAGCGGGCGGTTTGGAGTTTCAGCCGTGGAGAGCATGCCCAGTATCTGGGGGGAGAGCCCCCCCAAGTTTGTGACAAAGCCCTCACGCATTTTTGTCCGAATGGGACAGAGTGGCAAGTTCTCTGCCAAAATCACAGGACGCCCACAGCCCCTGGTTACCTGGCTCAAGGTGAGACAGAACAGAGAGAATGTTTAGTAATCTCAGTAACTTTGCCAAAATGTCCAGGTTTTTCAGAAATCGCAGTTTTAATAGTTTTTGAATTAGGAGGGAATACGCATAAAATCCAACCAGGATTTTTTGAAAAACTGACAATTTGGGGAATGTTGCCATCTAGACTTTGCAACTCTAGTTGGAACAGAGATGGCGTATTCTGTCTTTCAAATATGTAGGATGGTGAGTCTTCATCTCTGACATCTCTCTCTTTCTCTCTCCCTCTCTCTCGCTTCCACTTTGTCACTTTTTCTCTTTGATGGGTGTCACAGGGAGATGAAGAGCTTCATACTTCTTCCCACTTCAACATGTTTGAGAAGTCGGGAGTCCACTTCCTGGAGATCCGAGACGTGTGTGAGGACGATGCAGGAATGTACACCTGCTCTGTGGCCAACAGTGCTGGGAAGGCCACCGCTACAGCAGAGCTGAACGTTCAGGGTAGGGCATTGCATCCAATCACACTGCAGCCATCAGCCATCAACACACAGCCCAAATGTTCCAAATGGCACTTATTCCCTTTGTAGTGCACTTCTTTTGACTAGGGTCCACTATATAGGGAATAGGGTGCCATTTGGGACACATCCACCGAGTGCTATAACATCACAGTAAATCATCAGCATTGCCAGTTCTGAATATCGAGTTATATTTGGGAAATTTTTCAGTGTGTATCCTTTCCTTTTTAGGTTCAGGCAGTGAGGCTGGCATGTGAGTATGTATCTCATACAATTCCCTGCATTGTGATATTACTAACTGTGAATACATGAGCAACTCTTTTCGTGAGTTGTATACATTTCTACCAAATAATTCCACAAGAATTTCTCTACAGTGAAATATTCAATCCTTTGACAATGTGTTACCTCTACAGCCTAGGTACCTTTGCTCCGGTGGCCCCTGTCCCCAAGACAACTGACTCACCCGAAGTCAAGCACACAAGTAACGGCCTGCTCGCTGACCGGTGCTCACCTACCAAGTCAGGAGACAGGACTGAGACCAGAGAGACCAGAGAGACACTCACCAGGGAGACCAAAGACAGCACAGAGCTGACCAAACCAACATGGAAGACCACCGTGGCGTCTCCCAAGACCACCGTCGTGGTGTCTCCCAAGCCCCCTGCGGACCTGCCGGACGAGGCCCCTAGAAAGCCTGGGGTGGCAACCCCAAAGGATGCCAGCTCCACCTCTCTGCAGCACCATCTGAGAGGCCAGGGGGCTGCTAGGACCAGCCAAGACCCACACAGCAAAGCCCCTGAGAGGGATACAAGGGATAGGGTGAAGAACCCCCCAGTGGGAGTCCAGAGCCCCCCACAGCCATCTCCAGAGCCCACTAGAGAGGCTAGAAGGCAGGCCAGAGAGAGCAGGTCAGCGAGGGCAGCAGTGACTGCTGGAGCTCCACCCAAATTTGACTCTGTACCTCAGAGCCAGGACACTACAGAGGGGACCAAAGTCACATTCAAATGCCAAGGTGATTCAAAACATCTTATGGTGTATTATACTGAACAAAAATATAAACGCAACATGTAAAGTGTTGGTCCCATGTTTCATGAGCTGAAATAAAAGATCCCAGAAATTGTCCATATGCACAAAAAATGTATTCCTTTCAAATTTATTTACATCCCTGTTAGTGAGCATTTCTCAATTGCCAAGATAATCCATCCACCTGACAGGTGTGGCATATCAAGAAGCTGATTAAACGGCATGATCATTACACAGGTGCACCTTGTGCTGGGGACAATAAAATGGCACTCTAAAAGGTGCAGTTTTGTCACACAACACAATGCCACAGATGTCTGAAGTTTTGAGGGAGTGTGCAATTGACATGCTGAATGCAGGAATGTCCACCAGAGCTGTTGCCAGAGAATTTAATGTTCATTTCTCTACCATAAGCAGCCTCCAACGTCGTTTTAGTGAATTTGGCAGTACTGTACATCTAACCGGCCTCACAGCCGTAGACCATGTGTAACCACGCAAGCCCAGGACCTCCACATCCGGCTTCTTCACCTGCGGGATGGTCTGAGACCAGCCACCCGGACAGCTGATGAAACTGGGGGTTTGCACAACCGAAGAATTTCTGCACAAACTGTCAGAAACCTCCCAGGGAAGCTTATCTGCGTGCTTGTCATCCTCACCAGGGTCTTGGCCTGACTGCAGTTTGGCGTCGTAACCGACTTCAGTGGACAAATGCTCACCTTCGATGGCCACTGGCACGCTGGAGAAGTGTGCTCTTCATGGATGAATCCCGGTTTCAACTGTACCGGGCAGATGGCAGACTGTTTGCTGATGTCAACGTTGTGAACAGAGTGCCCCATGGTGGCGGTGGGGATTTGGTATGGGCAGGCATAAGCCACGGACAACGAACACAATTGCATTTTATTGATGGAAATTTGAATGCACAGAGATACCATGACGAGATCCTGAGGCCCATTGTTGTGCCATTCATCCGTCGCCATCACCTCATGTTTCAGCATGATAATGCACGGCCCCGTGTTGCAAGGATCTGTACACTTCCTGTAGGCTGAAAATGTCCCAGTTCTTCCATGGCCTGCGTACTCACCAGACATGTCACCCATTGAGCATGTTTGGGATGCTCTGGATCGATGTGTTCCAGTTCCCGCCAATATCCAGCAACTTCGCACAGCCATTTGAAGAGTGGGACAACATTCCACAGGCCACAATCAACCGCCTGATCAACGCTATGCGAAGGAGATGTGTCGCAGTGCATTAGGCAAATGGTGGTCACACCAGATACTGACTGGTTTTCTGATCCACGCCCCTACCTTTTTTTAAAGGTATCTGTGACCAACAGATGCATATCTGTATTCCCAGTCATGTGAAATCCATAGATTAGGGCCTAATGAATTTATTTCAATTGACTGATTTCCTTATATGAACTTATTAATTAATTTCCTTATATGAACTGTAACTCTGTAAAATCTTTGAAATTGTTGCATGTTGCGTTAAACATTTTGTTCAGTGTTTATACTGTATGTATGTATTTGTCATGTTTAGAACCACATTTTTACCAATTCACTAATACCAGTTCACTAATAGTTCTAAGCTACTTTATTATTGCATATTTGACCCATTTAGATTGCCTGTTAATGTGCTCTTCTAGTCTCAGGTTCTCCTGTGCCTGGCCTGAGCTGGGTTAAAGATGGCTTCCCTTTGAGACCCAGAGCAGGGCTGAGCTTCCAGCATGATGGCAACACTCACATCCTCACTGTGGACAACGTCCAGAAAAGGGACAGTGGGACGTATGGATGCACCATTGCTACCAGCACTGGGAAGGTGTCCTCGACTTGGACCCTCACTGTCAAGAGTAAGTACTTAGGGCGTGTCCGAAATGGCACCCTATTCCCCCAGCATTTCCCAATCCTGGTCCTGGGGACCCCAGAAGGTGCACATTTGTATTTTGGCCCTAGCACTACACAGCTGATTGAAAAGAATCAAAGCTTGAGTTTATTATTTTAAGGTGTGTAGTGCTAGGGCATTAACTATAATGACCCATAGGACCCTGGTCAAAAGTGTTTGGATGCAGTCTTACTGTACACACCGTGGCAGGATATAAAGGAGAACGGGAGAGCAGTGTTGTTGGTTTTAATAGTTTGAACTAAAGCCCTTGTTGTGCAGAATATTCATCACATCATCATTTTCAGCTAACAGGTCTATGGTTGAAGGTACAATAGCTTAGACTTAAGAGTCTCCACAGTCTCCAGCTCTGCCTTTGGGTAAATAAGCGTCTAATTCATTTCCCCCGGCTGTCTTAATCAAAACAGGATAGTGATGAAGGCAGGCTAAGTGAGGTGAGCACATCGACATTTAGTTCATTCCTCAGCGGCAATGCTGATTTGGGCTGAGTTCAACTAAAACGAGACTGTGTTGCTTTTGGACCTGTCCTAAACTGTCTGCTGTCTTTAACCAAATAAAAGTTGGTTGTATATTTAACGATAATCAAAGTGAAACTATTTGGATAGGTTTTGATATCTGGTTGTCTAGTTGTTGTTTTGGTTTGGACTAAACAGACTGGCACCAGTCTACAGTGAGTCCAGCATTGTTATCGCTTTCCATAATACAGAACAGTGCCATACACTATGCAGATTCAGTTTATTTTGCTTGAGATGAGCAGTCTTTTTGTTGGGAGTGTGCATCCTTTTAGAAATGACTGCAACAATTCTTGTCTACCTATGCCCTCTATTGGAGAGAAGGAAAGATTGCATCTGGTCATATACCCAGTTTGCTAATACCACGGTCGGTTACATTTGTCAGTCTGGTCCCAAGTCAAGGTAGGTATTGTTTGCGCCAGATACTTTAGGCCAAACACTGGGGTAAAGTCTTATGGTTGAAATGGGCCATTAGACTGACCAGTACCACGTATTTCAAATGTAAGGCTCCAATGTAATACATTTAGGATGTATTCTTAATAGTCCATCTGTGTACTCCTTCCCCTGCAGACCCACGGCTGGAGGGCAAGCCTCCTGCGTTCAGCACTGTCCTGAAGGGATGTTCAGTGAGTGAGGGCCAAGACTTCCTTCTGCAGTGTTCAGTGGAGGGGAAACCTCTACCTAACATCTCCTGGCTCCTAAACGGTGAGAGAGCACATCATTAAACAATTTTACGTTTGACTTATAGGCGCAATAAGAGGACACAACATACTGATTTTCCATCTAATCGGCTCAGGGATTCAAACCAGCAATCTTTCGGTTACTGGCCCAACGCTCTTAACCGCTAGGCTACCTGCCGCCCTGCATCTCCCCCTGCAGTAACTAGGGATGCAAAATTAGAGTAACTTTCCCATAATTTCCAACTGGGATTTCTGGGAAACCTGGGAATTTGAGGAAAGTTACCGGAAATGTGCAACCCTAGCAGTAACAGTCACCATTGTCTAGTAGTTACAGTATATCCATTATACCCACTAGAGGGGGGTGATGATCCTGTTTTTCAATACTTTGCACCTCATTGGACGGACAGACGAAAATCACTTCCAGGGAGAAGTGGTAGGAATAAAAAAGTCTCTGTACTCAGAACCCTCTTGAACAGATCAGCTAGGTAAGGGGGTGTAATTTATTGGATGCGTTCCAAATGGCTCCCTATATAGTGCACTATGGGCCCTGGTCAAAAGTAGTGCAGTATAAAGGTAATAGCGTGCCATTTGCGTGCCATTTGGGACACAGCCATTGTAAGTCTGCTACTGCTTTCCCTCTCAGCATGAGGCCGGCCCATCGGAGGACCACCATTTCACAGGTCTGGCTGCTCTGCTGCTGAAGGCTCATGTGGCTCTGTAGTGCGTCCAGATCACACACAGAGAATGTTTATTTTTCATCTTTATCTGCTCCACATATAGAGCGTCAGGGGGAACCCCCTTGAATGTGCAATTTTGAAGGTCATGACTCCAAAATTGAGTCATGCTATCCATATCCCATTGAAGTTGACATTTTAAATGGTTAAGGTAAGAGTTAAGGTTAAGGTTAGGGTTAGGGTAGGGGTTAAGGTTAGGGTTTAGCGCTGGGAGTAGGGATGTCCTAAGGAACCCGAATAGCAATAACTAAAATGAAAGCTTAGCATGACAATTGATCTAGCAGAATTCCAGCTGAACACAGTGAACACTGATTTTTTTATTTTTATTATTGTAGCTAGGTTATTTTTATCCTTCCAAATTTAATGAAGATGGATCACAATCTCTTAAAGAGTTTGGTTTAGTCTGTATCACCCCAGCCTAACTTGGCTGTCTCAACACTGTGAACATTGTATTTCTACAGTATCATTTGAGTTAGTTTTATCTGTGCATATTGAATTAAGATGGATCATAATCTGTTGAAGAGTTTGGTTTTGTCTGTATCTATCACCCGAGCCGAGCTTGGCTCACAACATAGGCAAATCCCCGCCTTATCTTAGCTCATTGGTCACCATAGCAACACCCACCCGTAGTATGCGCTCCAGCAGGTATATCTCACTGGTCATCCCCAAAGCCAACACCTCCTTTGGCCGCCATTCCTTCCAGTTCTCTGCTGCCAATGACTGGAACAAATTGCAAAAATCTCTGAAGCTGGAGACTCTTATCTCCCTCACTAACTTTAAGCATCAGTTGTCAGAGCACCTTACCGATCACTGCACCTGTACACAGCCCATCTGTAATTAGCCCACCCAACTACCTCATCCCTATATTGTTATTTATTTTGCTCATTTGTACCCCAGTATCTCTATTTGCACATCATCTCTTGCACATCTATCATTCCAGTGTTAATACTAATTGTAATTATTTTGCACTATAGCCTATTTATTGCCTTACCTCCATAACTTGCTACATTTGCACACACTGTATATATATTTTTTCTGTTGTATTTTTTACTTTGTTTTGTTTTACCCCATATGTAACTCTGTGTTGTTGTTTTTATCGCACTGCTTTGCTTTATCTTGGCCAGGTCGCAGTTGTAAATGAGAACTTGTTCTCAACTGGCTTACCTGGTTAAATAAAGGTGAAATAAAAATAAAATAAAAAAATAAAATAGGGCTAGAGTTCTTAACTCTGTAACTTTCATTACGGGTCAAAGGTTCGGCCCCTGAACTTGTTTGTAAACTGAGGGTGGGTGTGTCTTGGCCAATGTAATTGTTTATGTTTTGTTTTGCTTCGGTGGCCAAATGTGTTTGTGATTTGAATTATCCTCATTAGAAAACATAGCTGAAAAGGTTTAAAGGTCCAGTGCAGCCGTTTTTATCTCAATATCAAATCATTTCTGAGTACCAATTAAGTACCTTACTGTGATTGTTTTTAATTAAAATTGTAAAAAAGAAACAAAAATAGCTTCTTAGCAAAGAGCAATTTCTCAAGCAAGAATTTTGCTAGAACTGTCTGGGAGTGGGCTGAGTGGTGAGGGGAAAACTGAAAACTAGCTGTTATTGGCAGAGAGGTTTGGAACTCTCTTTCTTATTGGTCTATTAACTCATGTCACCAGGCAGGCCAAAGTTCCATCCCAGCAAAACAGGATGACATTTCAGGCGGTCTTTTCAAACAGCTCTTACAGTACACTAGAAAGGCATTATTGTGATTTTCACAATTCCACAGAATTATTCCAACCTAATAGTGTGGAAATATACAGTACCAGTCAAAAGTTTGGACACACCTAAAGTTGAAGTCGGAAGTTTACATACACTTAGGTTGGAGTCATTAAAACTTGTTTTTCAACCACTCCACAAATGTCTTGTTAACAAACTATAGTTTTGGCAAGTTGGTTTAAGACATCTACTTTGTGCATGACAAGTAATTTTTCCAACAATTGTTTAAAGACAGATTATTTCACTTATAATTCACTGTATCACAATTCCAGTGGGTCAGAAGTTTACATACACTAAGTTGACTGTGCCTTTAAACAGCTTGGAAAATTCCAGAAAATGATGTCATAGCTTTAGAAGCTTCTGATAGGCTAATTGACATCATTTGAGTCAATTGGAGGTGTACCTGTGGATGTATTTCAAGGCCTACCTCAAACTCAGTGCTTCTTTGCTTGACATCATGGGAAAATCAAAAGAAATCAGCCAAGACCCAGAAAAATAATTGTAGACCTCCACTATTATTCTGACATTTCACATTCTTAAAATAAAGTGGTGATCCTAACTGACCTAAGACAGGGCATTTTTACTAGGATTAAATGTCAGGAATTGTGAAAAACTGAGTTTAAATGTATTTGGCTAAGGTGTATGTAAACTTCCGACTTCAACTGTACATGATTCCATATTTCATAGTTTTGAAGTCTTCACTATTATTCTACAATGTAAAAATTAAGAAAAACCCTTGAATGGGTAGGTGTGTCCAAACTTTTGACTGGTAGTGTATATAAAACAAAGGAAAATCACATTTTGTCTGCACTGGGCCTTTAAGAAGCCTTTTTAAAATAGAGATTTAATCTTTAAACTCAAATAGAATTGAGTCGTTGCAGGTTTTAGAGAAGGATCTCACATTGTTTCCGTCCCAAATGGCACCTTATTCCCTTCATAGTATACTACTTTTGACCAGAGCCCTATAGGCCCTGATCAAAAGTACTGTATTATATAGGGAATAGGGTGTCACTTGGGACGTAGCCATAGTTTCCACAAGGCCACTTCTTAGTGCTCCAGGTCTGAGCTGTTCGGGAACTGTTGATGTTATCCTCTTGTCTCTTGAAGACGGATGGACAGTTAATGGCATCACACTTATCTCAGGGAAGAGAAATAGTCCCCGCTCGGTTGGATCCCAGGACCAACCGATTCACAGCCCTCTGTTCTCTTCTGTTCTTTCCGCTGGAAAATACACCCACAGCCATTAAACAAATATGAGGCCTAGGAACCATATAAAGGAAAAACATGCATCGCTGCCTCCTGAAACCTCTCCTGAAATATTACACCCAGCCAGACTTGGCAAGTGTTTGTGCACCAAAAGCAGACATCTGAGACTCTCTCTCTCCAAGACTCTGACTTGTGCAGGCCGATTATGAAATGCCTACCACCAGGACATAAAAAAAGTCTGCCCTGGATTTCAAAGTGAATGCCCTTCTTGGGATTGGGTGGTCCAGCACTGGGAGCGAGATACATTTATAATAGCGGAAGTGCATAAATATGGCGGCCCCTATGCATTTATCACATATGCCTTGTTTGCTAAGTTCACCGTATTGTACATTCCTCTCCGTTACTCTTTTTTTGTGTCGTCATTAGCACAGTATACATGATCTCAATTTTAGTTCAAAGATGCCGGGAATTTGAAAAAAAAAAAAAAAAGTGATTGTGCTGATTTATTTATTGGTGCATTGAACCATGCTGTAGTTTCAAAACTCTGTGGATCATGCTAAAACAATGACGTCATATCTGTATTCTGACATCTTTATGCACCTTCGAGCATCACAACTCATCCAGGCTCAGTTTAACACAGAGCTAGCTAGCTGCCTGTCTGTGTAAACTCAGGCCTGCAGGGAAAGATCAACACACATAAAGGAACATCTTGTGCTATTGTATCAATCAGTTACAAGGTTTTTTACATTATAAGGTGTCTTATTTTGCCTCAACATATTTATTCATTTTCATGAGCGATTTCACAGTAAACATTTATTAGTTTAATATGAATGAATGAATATTAGTCTCTTGATTTGATAGGATTTACACATAACATGTCCCGCATGATAAACTGCTTAATTTCTAATAATCTTTCTTAAATTATCTCTCTCCATGTGATACAGCCCAGCTTTACTTTTAAACCAAAAGATTGCTCTTAGTGTAAGATAAAGTCTTTTTGCTGGGAGTTGATTGTGTTTAGGTGTTCCTCCTCGAGTGTGATGCATGTTCCTCTCCCCCCCCCCCCCCCCCCCCCCCCCCCCCCCCCCCCCCCTCCAGACAAGCCAATGCCACATGCACACTTTGCCTTTGAGAATGGCCTGACCCAACTCACAGTCAAGGGTGCTCTGCCAGAGGACGAAGGCCAGTACACGTGTGTCGCTGAGAACATCCATGGGAGAGCAGTGTGTACTTCCAGAGTCATCGTCAAAGGTGGGCTTGGGAGCCTCTACAGAGCCGTATGTATCAAGCTTCTCAGAGTGGGATCAGCTCCCCCCTGTCCATGTTCTGTTGTTCATTATGATCCAAAAGTTAGAACTGATCCTAGATCATGACACTTGATACATTCGGCCCCAGGTGTGCTTCTCTATCCTTTGCATCTTAGAGAAAATACACATTACACTGACAGTACAAAACATTAGGAACACCTTCCTAATATTGAGTTGCACCCCCTTTTGTCCTCAGAACAGCCTCAATTCGTCGGGGCATGGACTCTACAAGGTGTCGAAAGCGTTCCACAGGGATGCTGGCCCATGTTGACTCCAATGCTTCCCACAGTTGTCAAGTTGGCTGGATGTCCTTTGGGGGGTGGACCATTCTTGATACACACGGGAAACAGTTGAGTGTGAAAAACCCAGCAGCATTGCAGTTCTTGACACACTGGCACCTACTACCATACCCTGTTCAAAGGCACTTCAATATTTTGTCTTACCCATTCACCCTCTGAATGGCACACATACACAATCATGTCTCAATTGCAAAAAAATCATTATTTAACCTGTCTCCTCCCCTTCATCTACACTGATTTGAAGTGGATTTAACAAGTGACATCAATAAGGGATCATAGCTTTCACCTGGTCAGTCTATGTCATGGAAAGAGCAGGTGTTCCTAATGTTTTGTACACTCAGTGTACACCACAATAGCTTTGGAAATATTTTCTTAGGCCATGGAAAAGGTCTGTTTTACTAAAATGATGGTCATAGAGGGGAATGCCCAATGGATATTCCAAGTTATTAAAATACATTTAAATTAAATTACATTTTTGAACATCTGAACACACACGCATGTCAAGCTGACAAATTCTATAAATGTGCTATATATAGAAACATATACTGTATATATTTAAATATAAATATATACATAATATGAATCTAATACGCTCAGGCTATTTTAAGGCTTAGCAATCTTTTGGCTGCATTGAGAATGTGCTCAATCCATGAGATAGGAAATATGCTTCTCTTCTCAGAAGAATGAGCATTTTACCATTTACTAAAGCTCTGAAATGTCTCTATTGAGAGTACTTTAAGCCCTTTGATAAGCAGCTCTGCTCTAAGAGAATAGCTATTTTAGGGCTCTGATGTTGCATTTAAGGAAACATCTGCTCTCTCTGTTCCAGCATGCATCTTGTCTACATCCCAAATGGCACCACGTTCCCTATATAGTGCACTACTTTTGACCATGGCCCTGGTCAAAAGTAGTGCACTATATAGGGAATAGGGTGCAATTTGGGACAAAATCCTTGTCTTTCAGCACACACAGGGCTTCATGGCAGAGGTTGAGCTTTTTAAAATGTGAAATACCATCATTTTCCCACACATGCACTGTGAGTTCAGCATGCAGCACAGGCTGATCATGACAGAGAGATGGAGGGAAATACCACTCGTTTGACTTGCTAGCACACCAACCATCTTGTTCATACATTAAGAACTAATGGCACTCATTCATTTTTAGTAGCAAAGAGAGCTAGAGCAGAGCGAGAGTATAACTTTAAGGACATCCACAATCAACACGTGGTAATGGAATATTTTTGGAATCTGTTTGGAAGCACTTTCTATGAAGTCCTTTATAATGCATTATAATACACTTATAATGTGTAACAGTATGACACTGACTACAGATTAACCTTCACTCCAATCTGATTAAGAGTCTCTTTCTAAAGACGCTTTGCCTGTGTCAGTCACAACCATCACATCTTTAGATACAGAACAACGCTTCATGCAGATGGGCAAGCTGCAAGCCAAGTGGCCATTGATTTGCTTGGCAAGTTGGCATCACACTGAACCTGTGAGAACAAATAGATGAGGGATTGGTGCCAGTCTAATTGATGCCAGTCTAAGAGGGAGGGTGAGTCTGCTATGTTCAACACGGCTAAGATATTGTAGAAGAACAGCCATGGCAGTGTTAGCTGTAAGTTAAGATCATCATACTGTACATGTACCTACAGTATATGACAGTGGAGGCTGCTGAGGGGAGGACGGCTCATAATAATGGCCGGAATGGAGTGAATGGAATGGTATAAAACACATGGTTTTCAGCCATTATTATGAGCCGTCCTCCCCTCAGCAGCCTCCAATGGTACAGTGGGGAAAAAAAGTATTTACTCAGCCACCAATTGTGCAAGTTCTCCCACTTAAAAAGATGAGAGAGGCCTGTAATTTTCATCATAGGTACACGCCAACTATGACAGACAAAATGAGAAAAGAAATCCAGAAAATCACATTGTAGGATTTTTAATGAATTTATTTGCAAATTATGGTGGAAAATAACTATTTGGTCAATAACAAAAGTTTCTCAATACTTTGTTATATACCCTTTGTTGGCAATGACACAGGTCAAACTTTTTCTGTAAGTCTTCACAAGGTTTTCACACTGTTGCTGGTATTTTGGCCCATTCCTCCATGCAGATCTCCTCTAGAGCAGTGATGTTTTGGGGCTGTCGCTGGGCAACACAGACTTTCAACTCCCTCCAAAGATTTTCTATGGGGTTGAGATCTGGAGACTGGCTAGGCCACTCCAGGACCTTGAAATGCTTCTTACGAAGCCACTCCTTCGTTGCCCGGGCGGTGTGTTTGGGATCATTGTCATGCTGAAAGACCCAGCCACGTTTCATCTTCAATGCGCTTGCTAATGGAAGGAGGTTTCCACCCCCATGCTTCACAGTAGGTATGGTGTTCTTTGGATGCAATTCAGCATTCTTTGTCCTCCAAACACGACGAGTTGAGTTTTTACCAAAAAGTTCTATTTTGGTTTCATCTGACCATATGACATTCTCCCAATCCTCTTCTGGATCATCCAAATGCACTCTAGCAAACGTCAGACGGGCCTCGACATGTACTGGCTTAAGCAGGGGGACACGTCTTGGACTGCAGGATTTGAGTCCCTGGCGGCGTAGTGTGTTACTGATGGTAGGCTTTGTTACTTTGGTCCCAGCTCTCTGCAGGTCATTCACTAGGTCCCCCCGTGTGGTTCTGGGATTTTTGCTCACCGTTCTTGTGATCATTTTGACCCCACGGGGTGAGATCTTGCGTGGAGCCCCAGATCGAGGGAGATTATCAGTGGTCTTGTATGTCTTCCATTTCCTAATAATTGCTCCCACAGTTGATTTCTTCAAACCAAGCTGCTTACCTATTGCATATTCAGTCTTCCCAGCCTGGTGCATGTCTACAATTTTGTTTCTGGTGTCCTTTGACAGCTCTTTGGTCTTGGCCATAGTGGAGTTTGGAGTGTGACTGTTTGAGGTTGTGGACAGGTGTCTTTTATACTGATAACAAGTTCAAATAGGTGCCATTAATACAGGTAACGAGTGGAGGACAGAGGAGCCTCTTAAAGAAGAAGTTACAGGTCTGTGAGAGCCAGAAATCTTGCTTGTTTGTAGGTGACCAAATACTTATTTTCCACCATAATTTGCAAATAAATTCATAAAAAATCCTACAATGTGATTTTCTGGATTTTTTTTCTCTATTTGTCTGTCATAGTTGACGTGTACCTATGATGAAAATTACAGGCCTCTCTCATCTTTTTAAGTGGGAGAACTTGCACAATTGGTGGCTGACTAAATACTTTTTTTCCCCACTGTATATGAATACTGTAAGGTGTGATGGTTTCTTTTTACTATTGAAATGCCAATGGGAAATGCAAACATTTTATATAGAATTTTAAACAGAATATTGTTGAATATTGCATGCCTGATGATTGGTAGAGGATGTCCCACGCAGTTAGGCTCCCTGCATTATTATTCACTTTTGTTTAAAGTTACTGTCGGTCCCAAATGGCACCATATTCCCCACTACTTTTGACCAGGGCTGACGAAAGCCCCATAGGCCCTGGTCAAAAGTAGTACACTATAAAGGGAATAGGGTGCCATTTGGGACGCAGACTGAGGCAGCAGTCAAGCAGGACTTTTTAAGCAGCAGTGCTGATGGAAACATGCTGGAGATGCCTTGGATCTCCCTCTGGCATGCTGGAAATGTATACAGACAGTGGGCTGTGTTTATGACAAGCCCTGTCTGTCGGGTCCTGACGTCCACAAGGTTAGGGCCACTAGATTTATGAACCTGGGGATGGGAGGATGGGGAGGACGAGGGGGTGGGGGTTGACTCTACGTAGAACCAAACGCCATACATGGTGCGCATGAATCAAGGAGTGAGGGACAAAAAGGTCCCCTTGCTCCGTCTCTCTCGGTCTCTCTCGGTCTCTCTCTCTCTCCTCAGGAAGCCCTCCGCAATAGAGAAGTCCCTCGTGAAAATGGGCCTTTTCCGCTCAGAACAGCTTGTGCTCTTGCTCCCCAGTCTCTCTTATTTTGATATGATGTGATTTCTTTCTATGTAATTGTATTGTGATAATACATGTTTTTATCATTACATTCAACTTAGCTTTTTACCCCATTATGACTAAAGTGTAATGATGACTCAAATAATTTGATTTTGAACTCTCATGACTCTTAAAGACCTTGGCAAGAACATCGTCCTTATCCCTTAAGTCCTATGGTCATCTTTAATGAGATTATCCAAGTGTTTGCTTATTCAAGACATGTACCTCACATGTTTGCCAGTAACATCACATCATCAGTCATTTGGAATGTCCAAATCGTCTCTGTGATGTGGTGTTTAGAGCACAGGTCTAAAGGGTGATTGAGCTGTAATTGGAGTACGGTAATGCGTCCGATCAAAAGTAGTGCACTGTATTAGGGAATAGGGTGCCATTTGGGACGCACTCTTGGTAATGTTCAGGACGTATCTCATATTCATAGGCTGCGTCCCAAATGCCACCACATTCCTTATTTAGTGTATTACTTTTGACCAGGGCTCTGGTCACAAAGGTAGTGCACTAAATAGGGAAAAGGGTGGCATTTGGGATGCAGAAATAGCATTGCGTTGTGCTCTGGAAACTTCTCCAGATGGCAAGTCTGTAGTTATGGATGAAATTCCACTCCGCTTCTGAGGATGACAAAATTAAATTAATGTAGGAGGAATTCTATCCTAATAATAATTCAATCTGACTCCATAATCATGTGTCATAGGCCCTGTCTCTGACAGATATAGCAAGATAGCTAATCGTTGCATCACTACACTCTGAGACTATAGCGTGTCTATCTTGTACCGTTATGGAATTAGCAATGTTCAGATACTTGTGAGCTGTTTCAAGCTATCAAAGTTCTCGCATTAATTAATTGAGTGAAGTTTAGAGCAGGGATGTCAAGGTGGAACCCAAGTATTCAATGTGTAATGTAATTATATTTATCAGTAGTCCATAACATCAAAACAAAGAATGTTACTCTGAATTACAAGGACTACAGTATGAAGCCAATTTAAAAGTGATAAAGATTTATTACAAGTATGCAATAAGAATATAATTATCAAAGATGTACATACCATAAGTCTTCAAAGTAACAATGTAGGAAATTGTCTGTCTAGTAACATAGCATATACACCACACTATGGCATAGGTCCTCAAAGTATAGCCAGGAGATTTGCAATACAAGTTTTCAATGAATGAAGCAACCTATCAAGCTTTTATCCTACCTAGGGCGAACTCAATTTCAATGGCCCCCATCGTTTAATTAGCATCACTCTGCTGGCCAGGAAACAATATAACAAAAGGCATAAAACTTCACAATCATTCTCTGAACCTAATCAACACAATCAATCTAAATGAAAGGAGTGCACATCTGTGCTGCTCCTACTTTGAACTGACCGCCGTTCGGCGACCAGTTTAGTTCAGCAACTCTGTAAAGATAAATCCTTAACACGTATAGCCCAGTGAGTCATATACAAATTTGCAGCTCTTTAAGAGCTATTGAAAGGATCCAAACATGACAATTTAATTAATAAAGTTAGATTCATTAGTCAACTCAAGTTTAATCAGTCTTCGTGCCTCTGAGGCTGTCAGTATCCACTGGGCTCCATAGGAATGTCCTGCCCCAGAGAAAGCCACTGGCGAAGGTGTGCTTCACTCCTGTGATGTGTAAAAATATGGCCATCTATCTGGACAGTGCCATAAATCGTGATCAAATCATCACACTGTGCCTTGGCGCCGGCAAGTCGCCGACGTGTCTTCATCACCACCTTCATCATTGGTCACCCTCTAATTCTTCCACTACAAGTCCATGTGAGGATCAGCTGTACACTTGTAACATTCTGCTCCAGAGCCTCTGAAAGTTTTCAGAATATATGCATGGCTGCCAATGTCATTGAGAACACAGTTTTCCACAAATTCTTTGGCATTGTTTCTCCAGTACTGTAGGTTTCAGATGTCCTGGCTGCAGTAGATTGCCAGACAGCTTAGTTCTGGATGTAGGAGAGCTCTTGCTTTATCTGAACGAGCAGCGACTCCCAAGAGATGCACTGGGCTCCCATAGGGCTCAATTCAAAAGTATTGCACTACATACAGGAAATAGGGTGCCATTTGAGACGCTCTATAAGAAATCTGCTCCAGACTCTATATATAGTATTCCAAGAATCCATCTAGAATAACTATTTATTTATTGGGGAAAAGCTGAATCTCAAGTTGGTTGTCTTGGCTTGGTGTGCTGCTTAGTGAATTACTCATGTTCTGAATTAAAGTAACCCTGCTAATGTTATTGTTAAATTTCAGCTAAGAAAAGTGTCAAGAGGATGGGCTCTCCAAATGCAGTTGACACCAAGAAGCCATTGAAGCCTTCTGCCCCTGTATTCCTACGAGGTCTGAAGGATCTGAAAGTCATGGACGGTAGCAAAGTCATCATGACCGTGGAGGTGACAGGTAAGAGAAGGCCTCGTCTCTCCTCCTCCTGGGTCGTATTCATTAGGTACCAAATGGAAGAAAACGGACTGAAACACGGAGTGACTACCTAGACCAGGGGTGTCAAACTCATTTTAGCTCAGGGGCCACATGGAGGAAAATCTATTCCCAAGTGGGCCGGACCGGAAAAATCATGGTATATATAACTTAAAAACAACAACTTCAGATTGTTTTCTTTGTTTTAATACGATCAACATACAACATAAAGCTGGAGCCTGAGGACAGTGTGTCCAAAATAGTACAAGCACAACATCACTATTAATCATAAAACACGTCAAGTTTATTTGAAAATTCTAAAGAAAAAGAACACAAACACACAATGCCTCAGTGATTAACAGAACTGTTTCACAGATCACAGAACTATATCAGGGTGTCATTTCTCAGGCAGAAATGTAGATACAAATAATGAAATCCTGTTCCCCAAACAAGTGCAAGAACCACAGAGTCAAGAATAGGTTAAATATACAAATAAAATAAAATCAATTAAAAACAATAGCACATCAACATAAAAACATATAAACATAAATCTGAAAGCGTTGCTCAAACTCCCGTAACAGTCCAGTTATTTTATCTTTGAACCGCTTCATGTCTGCCACATGTTGGGTCGCGCACACATTTTTCAGACAGGGGAAGTGAGCTGCATCACCACCGGCAAGTTGCGTCTCCCACAATGACAGCTTCAACTTGAAAGAACGTATGCTGTCATAATACTGCGTGACAACTTTGTTGCGCCCTTGCAGCTGTTTGTTCAAGTTATTCAGGTGCTCTGTAACATCCACCATAAATGCAAGGTCCGGCATCCATTCTGCGGAATGAAATTCTAACACTGGTTTGCCCTTTTCTTCCATGAACTGTTCAATTTCTTCTCGTAAATCAAAGAAACGCCTCAGCACAGCACCTCGGCTTAACCATCTTACCTCAGTGTGGTATGGCAGGCCATAGATGTGGTCTTTCTCTCTGAGAAGGCTGTCAAACTGACGGTGATTCAGGCTTCTGGATCGGATGAAATTAACAGTTTGGATGACCACCTTCATGACGTTATCCATCTTTAATGACTTGCAACACAAAGCCTCCTGGTGCAAAAAAGTTCATTCACCTTCTCTCATCTCCGCTGTCCTTGAAAGTTGTCATATTTGTCAGCATGAAGACTCACATAGTGGCGACGAAGGTTATATTCTTTCAGCACTGCAACATGCTCTGAACACACCAAACATACAGCTTTCCCATTCAATTCCGTGATTAAATAGGATGACCATTTTTCTTGGAACACTATGCACTCTGCGTCCACTTTTCTCTTTTTTGACAGAGACATATTGGGGCAATGAGGGTGCCAAAGCACATAATGTTAAAAGTAGAAGCCGTAATAAATATCGCGGGCAAAACAAAGTAGCTCATTGGCTGCACGTGCTTGACCTACTTGCTCTGCCCCGGTATAAACAGTTTGCTTGCTTAACACAATTGCTATTGCGCCATCCAGTGGACGCAATTGGAACAGCAGTTTATTTTATAGAAAAATTGCAGCGCATTTTTACACTTAAGAAATGTTATTTTTTTTTAATTTTTTTTTTTAATCATCTCGCAGGCCGGATTAAACCCGTTTGCGGGCCTGATCCGGCCCACGGGCCGTACGTTTGACACCCCTGACCTAGACTAGTCCAATAAAACCGCTTGTTTTCGTATTCTGTTGAAAAGCATTTTGTAACAGTGTGCCACAATGAATACATACAACCCTGGTCGGTGTCTTGTGTTGGCCCTTATTCCAATTAATCCAACTGGAAAACTCGGAACTTTGGTTTTGTTTTCAGTATTTTCAGCGACTCTGTTTGCTTTAGACACTGGTATTTCCTGCTCATCCCCCCCAGAGATGAGTTGTTTGGTTTTCAGTTCTTTCTGCGTTTGCATTTCCTTCCAACGTGTGACCTGAGGGGTGGGCAGCCTCTCGGAGTATTATCATTTATTCTTATATAATCTTCATCATCCCACTTCCTGTGTGTGTGAGAGGTTGTTCGCATGAGGCAGGAGTCGCTTGTTATACGGCATATGGTTTACCTTATTATTCTAGGCCTTTCATCATTTAATGTAAATAGTGATGGAGTGGGATGGTCTCTCACTGTATTTTCTTATGGAGATTTATGATAACAGTAATCCACATGCAATTTATTAGATTAGATTAGATCATGCATCATACCTATGTGGAAAATGCATAATATTATGCAAGACAATTCTAAATCATAGCATGTGTTATGTAATACAACCTGTCATAACATGTATATAATAATTTCAAGTGATAGTTCACCCAAATTACACAATTACATATTGGTTTCCTTACTCAGTAAACAGTCTGACAGTAATCCATGCTTTGGCTTTGTTTACCTAGCCACCGTCTCCAAATGCAAACTTTTTTTGCATTTTTGTCCAAAAATTATCCAAGCAATTAGTATGTTTTGCGTTTCATGTCCAAATCATTTTAAAGTAGCTTTATTGAGCTAAACGATACATTTTAGAAACTTTGAGATGATTGGGGCATGAAATGTGAAAAATGCTAATTTCTAGGATAATGATTTGCATTGGTCTTTGGACAATAATGCAAAAAAGTTATCATTTGGAGACAGTGACCAGGTAAACAAAGCCAAATAATGGATTTCTGTCTTGTCCAAACACAAGGTTTAATGTAACATTTTGTGGTCATAGGGAATCCTCATCCAGAGATTGTGTGGCTCCACAATGGAAAGGAGATCCAGGAGTCGGAGGATTTCCACTTTGAGCGGAAGGGGAGCCAATACAGTCTGTTCATCCAGGAAGTCTTCCCTGAGGACACTGGGAAGTACACCTGTGAGGTGTGGAACGAAGTGGGAGAGGTTCGCACCGAGGCCTCACTCACTGTACAAGGTAGGCTAGTAGCCTAGCTAACTCCACCTAAGCTAGCTCAGTATGTCTGGTGAAATATCTCTAGCAGATGTAGTTTATGCCTCAGGTTTTCCAGATATCCCGATTTAGAGTATTCCTGGAATCAGAGAATCAGGAGGGAATAAGTTGGAAATCAGGGAATCCTCCAACCAGGATTTTCTGGACAATCTGTGCATTTTTGAAAAGGTACCAGAAATTCACAACCCTATTCATGCAATAATGTTGTCTCTGTCTTTGTGTTCCAGAACCCCAGGATGGGGTGCAGCCCTGGTTCATCACTAAGCCCAAGTCCACCACTGCCTCCCTGGGGCAGAATGTCCTGCTATCCTGTGCCATCGCTGGGGACCCCTTCCCCCAGTGGACCTGGATGAAACAGGGCCAGGTGGTGACCACTGGGCTGGACTATGAGATTCTGCAGAAGGAGGACGTGGTGTCTCTGCTCATCAGGCGAGTCAGGTCTCACCACGCCGGGGACTACGAGATCAGCCTGAGGTAGGCTTCTGCGGTGCCATTTAAGATGTGCTGGACTCCTTATACAGTAGATGACTCCCTTCTGTAGTATCGGGAGAAGGAGCTGTTTATGTTGGAACACAATAACACTGTCATTTACAGTATAACATACTATAAGGTAGTGGTTCTTAAACTGGGGGTCCCGACCTCCCGGGAGGTTGCGAGAAGGTTTTGGGGGGTCGCGAGTGTGAAACTGAATGGGAAAAATACATTTTCCAAACATATTTTAATAAGCTACATATTTTAAATTTAGACCTTTGCTTATTCGATCTGGTTACTAACATAGGCCTACAGTACTGGATCAAATTCTTCTTAAAAAACATCTCTGTGCTTCAGAACCAAAAAGTTGCGTGTCTTAACTGTTGATTATGACCAAAGACCAGTCCTCACCATTGGCACGCAAAGGCGGGCGCCCATATCCAGATTAGTGACCAGAAGCACTTGTTTAATTTTCTCCGGTTTTACCTGGCAAGAACATTGTACGTTTATATTATCCATATAAAATACTGTTTAGCAATCTGCTACAGGCGCATCCTTGCCAGAACGATAGGCTACCTTGCGATATCATTGATCATTTTCATATTTCAGATAGGCCAAGTTTGGGTGGCTACTGGCTATATGTCTAAATATTGCTGTAACATCGCACTGCCTTCAATACTTATGGCTGAAGATGTAAAATGTTCTGCCGAATTTATTATGATATTTGTGAGGAAGAAAAGACTACAGACAGACCATACTTTTCATCCGATCCTGCAACCTCCGCTGCGTACAGGTAGGCCGTATGAGCCTATCTGCTTGCTCTGGATTCCAGAGAAGTGACATGATATCCCTAGTTGATATTGGCTACTAACATGAATGCCTTTCAGCTCAAAATGTAAGTGTAAAACATAGCTTATTTCTGTATCTTGCTTTTTGAAAATGTGCGCGGGTCAAAAAGTTGAGGAACCACTGCTATAAGGTACTACTCCTACATGTCTGCCTCTGACAAAGTTTCATTTTAAATCAATGTTTTGATTGATGATTATAATACATGGGTTAGTGTGAGGGTTACAAATCCAAGACCGGCATCACTGAGACACATAGCCTCTTCTTGATTTGGTCTTAAAAGCAAGTACCAGTAGTTAAAACACTCCCCCTCCCTAGTTGTCCATTCACCTTCTCTCTCTCTTCTTCTAGGAACAAAGTGGGCGACTGCAGTTGTGTTGCCACTCTGTTGGTCAGTGAGGGTGCAGTAGTGTCCGGTGGAGAGCAGCAAACGTATGTAGCCAGCTATCCTACTGCTTTACTGTCGAGGCCCCTCAGCCTGGGCTATTTTTGCCTTCCCCTCTCCCGCCCCCCTCCCCAGACCCCGGTTTCAAATCAGTTTAAACCCTGAATATAACCAAATAAATTGTTTACAGTACCTCCTCCAGCTGTGCCATTGTTCAAAGCCAGGGGCTGGTTGCCCTTATAAGGCTACTGAAGTCATCTCTGATGTAACATCATGTTGAGTTGTGGTCCCCCCCCCCCTCAATTAACCAGTGGAGGCCGGGGGCTTTTAAACGACCCCTGTTTTTTTCCTCTTCCGCCCTCTCTCTCTGTGCTACTGCAGGCTTGAGCCTTGTCAGCGTGTGGGAGGAGTGGACGGGACAGTGCGAGGCAGAGGAGCACCGAGCAGCAGCACTAGCAGCAGCTCCATTCAGCAGCAGCAGGAGCCAGTGGAGTCAGAGGAGCCCAGCGCAGCTCGGGGACTCCTGAAGAGGCGCGTGGAGACCAAGGAGCACTGCGAGGACCAGATCCGCCTGCAGGAGGCCGAGCAGCGCGACTTCCGCACGGTGCTGGGCAGGAAAGTCACCACCAAGAGTGTCTCCGAGGAGGATCTGAAGGAGATCACGGCGGAACAGATGGACTTCAGGAGCCAGCTCCAGCCCAGAGGGGTCAAGCCCAAGACCCTGTCTGAAGATGAGAGGAAGGTCAACGCTCCCGCGCAGGTGGACTTCAGAGCCGTCCTGGGGAAGAAGGGGGGCGCCGTGAAACCAGGCGCTGCTCCTGCCGAGAAAGGAGAGCCTGCAGATTTCAGATCAGTTCTGGCCAACAAGAAGAAGCAGACAAGCTTGGAGAACAACGGGGAGAGCCCTGCTCCAGCAGCAGTTCAGTCCCTGGTAGCAGCAACACCCAAAGCTCCTGCTTCTTCCCCTGACAAGAAAGAGAAGGAGAAGAACACCGTCAACTGTGTGGATGGTGGGATTATTGATAAGAAGAACAACAACATTGGAAAGGAGCCAGTGTTCAGTCAGAAGCTGAGTGATGTGAGCGTGGTGGACGGATCTTGCCTGCGGCTACAGTGCCAGGTGACCTGTGACCCCCCTGCTACTACTACCTGGACTCTAGACGGGAAGGTCATCAAGCCCTCCAAGTTTATCAAGCTGTCCAACGAAGGTAAATATGTGGCCTACTACTAAACCGACCATGTCTGCCTCCCAAATGGCACCCTATTCCCTTTTCATAGTCCAGAGCCCAAACGTAGTGCACTACATAGGGCAGGGGTATTCAACTCTTACCCTACGAGGTCCGGAGCCTGATGGTTTTCTGTTCTACCTGATAATTAATTGCACCTATGTAAATCAGTCCCTGATTAGAGGGGAACAGTTAAAAAAACGCTGTGAAACTGGCTTCAAGGTCCAGAGTTGAGTTTTAGGGACATGGGGAATAGGGTGCCATTTGGGATGCATTCCATTTCATTAATGCATTATTCATGTCTCTGTGGAGGCTTGGCTTCTAATATTAGAAAGTAGTGTGTCTATGACAGACAGAAAGACAGTGATATGACTGAGTTTCCCCTCTCTCACCGAAGCATTACAGGCATTTAATATGGGATATGATGGGAACAATCCCTTTACATAGGAGAGTCAATCAAATCACATGAAATCAAAATGTATTTGTCACATGCGCCGAATACAACAGGTGTAGATCTTACCGTGAAATGCTTACTTACAAGCCCTTAACCAACAATGCCGTTTTAAGAAAAATAAGAGTTAAGAAAAATATTTGCTAAATAAACTAAAGTAAAAAATAAAAGAGCAACAATTAAATAACAATAACGAGGCTATATACAGGGGGTACCGGTACCGAGTCAATGTGCAGGGGTACAGGTTAGTCGAGGTAATTGAGGAAATATGTACATGTAGGTAGGTGTAAAGTGACTATGCATAGATAAACAGTGAGTAGCAGCAGCGTAAAAATGCAAATAGTCCGGGTAGACATTTGATTAGCTGTTCAGCAGTCTTATGGCTTGGGGGTAAAAGCTGTTAAGAAGCCTTTTGGACCTAGACTTCGCACTCCGGTACCGCTTGCTATGCGGTAGCAGAGAGAACAGTCTATGATTACGGGGGCTGGAGTCTTTGGACATTTTTAGGGCCTTCCTCTGACACCGCCTGGTATAGAGGTCCTGGATGGCAGAAAGCTTGGCCCCAGTGATGTACTGGGCCGTACGCGCTACCCTCTGTATCGCCTTGCGGTCGGAGGCCAAGCAGTAGCCATACCAGGCGGTGATGCAACCAGTCAGGATGCTCTCGATGGTGCAGCTGTACAACTTTTTGTCATCGATGTTATCATAGAGCCTATATATTTTGTACTGGTTCCTTGTAATCGTTTCCATGTAAAAAGCCCCTCTCATATACAACGTGGTATAAATAGAGTAATAGCTGAAGGATTCCCTTTTTCTGGGCTCCTGGGTATCCTTGACACACCTACAAACAGACATAATGTTCGTCCCAAATGGCACCCTATTCCCTAAATAGTGCACTACTTTTGACCAAGGCCCATAGGAAATAGGGTGTCAATTGGGACGCAATATCCATCATCTCTGTTATTTCATGTCAGAGAAACAGCCCCAAATCCCAACTGTCACACAGCCATGTCTACTAAATAAATAATGGAATTATATCTTGGTGACCCTCCAGGTCATGTTTATTCTCATTTTAGTGTCACCGAGGGTCATGCTGAAGAATGCATTGCTTCAGGCTCTGAGAGAGAAGCTTACATTTCTCATTTACTTCATTTACGTCCCACCATAACAAATGAAGTATGTTAGTATGTTATCATGGAGCCATAGGGTAGTAATGGAGGCCTCTCTGGCTATGGTTGTCTATGTGTGTACTGGGGCCACTGTGGCTATGGTTGTGTGTGTGTGTGTGTGTGTGTGTGTGTACTGGGGCCCACTGTGGCTATGGTTGTATGTGTGTGTGTGTACTGGGGGCCACTGTGGCTATGGTTGTATATGTGTGTGTGTGTGTGTGTATACTGGGGGCCGCTGTGGCTATGGTTGTCTGTGTGTACTGGGGCCACTGTAGCTAAGGTCCCTTGTGTGTGTTTCTTTGTTTTCCTGCAGGAGGCCAGTGCTCCCTGACCATCGACAAGGCCCTGCCCGAGGACGAGGGCCAGTACAAGTGCCGGGCAGAGAACTCTGCCGGTAAAGCTGAGTGTTCCTGCATGGTGCTGGTGGATGGTGAGTTGTTCCAGGCTGACGTGTCCCTCTGACTGCTCCCCACTCCCATGAGTCCCCCTCAGCCTCACGGCCACCCCGGCCTCAGCCCAGGCACTTCCTGCAATTACAACGGACAGATTAGCCTAGCTGGATTCCCTGTTCCAGGCTCCCACTGCACGTCCTCCTCCCCCAGCCCCCCAGCACTCATTAACAGGCCTGGATCAAAACATTATCCAGGCACGCACAGTTCAAGCCTAGTTTTAGATTCATATGCAAATAGAAATTAGTTGAACTTTTGCATACTTCTACTACTAATCAAATCAAATCAACTTGTATTTGCCACATGCGCCGAATACAACAGGTGTAGACATTACAGTGAAATGCTTACTTACAAGCCCTTAACCAACAATGCAGTTTTTTATTTCAATAGAAAAGTCAAAAATGTGGTAAGTAAAAAAAAATTAAAGCAAATAACTAAAGAGCAGCAGTAAAGTAAAATAACAGTAGGGAGGCTATATACAGGGGGTACCGGTACAGAGTCAATGTGCGGGGGCACCGGCTAGTCGAGGTCATTGAGGTAATATGTACATGTGGGTAGAGTTAAAGTGACTATGCAAAAATAATAAACAGAGTATCAGCAGCGTAAAAGAGGGGGATGGGGAAGGGTTGGGGGGGCAGTGCAAATAGTCTGGGTAGCCATGATTAGCTGTTCAGGAGTCTTATGGCTTGGGGGTAGAAGCTGTTGAGAAGCCTTTTGGACCTAGACTTGGCGCTCCGGTACCGCTTGCCGTGCGGTAGCAGAGAGAACAGTCTATGACTAGGGTGGCTGGAGTCTTTGTACTCTCTGATGTACTGGGCCATACGCACTACCCTCTGTAGTGCCTTACGGTCGGATGCCAAGCAGTTGTCATACCAAGCGGTGATGCAACCAGTCAGGATGCTCTCGATGGTGCAGCTGTATAACTTTTTGAGGATCTGAGGACCCATGCCAAATCTTTTCAGTATCCTGAGGGGGAATAGGCTTTGTCGTGCCCTCTTCACGACTGTCTTGGTGTGTTTGGACCATGATAGTTTGTTGGTGATGTGGACACCAAGGAACATGAAGCTCTCTACTGTTGACGTCAATGCAAAAGTATGAGATTATGAAACGTTATTTAGCAAATATGGTTTGGTCCACCTTAAATAGTCCAGAGCAGGGTTGCAAAATTCCGGGAACTTTAAATACATTCCCTGGTTTTCCAGAAATCCTGGATGAAGTGTTCCGTATTTCCTGCTATTCCCTCCTGATTCTGGGAAGCCTCCAACTGGGATTTCAGGAAAACCAGCAAATGTATTGAAAGTTCCCGGAATTTTGCAACCCTATTCCAGAGGGAATCATTGCATTTTTAACATGAATGGTCCATTTGAATGGTTAGCTGTTGTTGTGTTACTGATACACTAAGTAGGAATTCATGTAGTTTTATCAGATAGGAAAGAATGAGAAATAAGTAGCCATGTTTTTTTCCTCTTCCGTAGATCCTACAGACACAAACTCGACAGCAGCTGACAAGAAGATCAAGAAGCCATCCACCCCTACCTCCGAGAGTGAGTTTCCAAAATATGTGCTTCCTTATTTCCCAAAAAGGAGCGTTGTGGGATCTCTCTGTCTTTCCCACTGCTGCAGCCTGCCTGCCTGCCTGCCTCTCAGTGAGCTGGTGCTCTTTATAGCATGTGAACAAAAATAAAATATTGTTCTGACCCCAAACTCACTCATTAAATCTGGCCAATCTCTTCTCTCTGTGTAGAGAACGAACATGAAAATTGTGATCAGTAAATCTATATAGGTCTTTTATCCAAAGTCTTTTATCAAGTTAGATTTATGCTAATGGTAAGGATGTTGGGGAGGATTATGGAGAAGATGTTCTTATCTTATTGGTCATCTTAATCTTTTCAAGCTGGAGGAGTAGGTAGGAGTTCTATAGAGTTATGTGCTATACCCCTGCACATTCTTTTCCATATGATTTAATGACGTAGGCATTAGCCTGTAAAGAGTCCAGCAGTCGACACCCCCTTGCACGCAGATCTACCTTTACATAAAAGGCTTTAGATCAGGCACACTCAGGGCTGGGCATGAAGAATGTCCATTTATCCCTCATGCCTCCAGCCTGGATGGTTCCTTCCAGGGGTCAGAGGCCACTACGACACCCCTCTCCTCTGTGATGTTTGACAGAGCTAATTGACTGCTGTTTGTCTTTAAGCCCGGGACACTCACTCGAACTTAAAACATGCCCAAGGAGAAAGGGAGAGGGAAAGAGAGAGCGGGATGGAAAGAGAGTGGAGGGAGAGAGAGACCCTTTGCATGGCTGCCCCGCTCACTCAACCTCCTCTCCCAAACTTCCATGTAAGGCTTGCGTCTGCCTGCTCCTTAGCCCTCTCTTGACTCACATGCTCTGGCCTCTTTTTCCTATACTCTGAGGTTCTGCAGAAAATCTGCCAGCTTCGGGATATGCTTTTGTCCTGCTGGAATGTGGAATGATCCAAACAAGCTCTAAAACTAAGAGCTGTGTGGTGAGCATTTTAATAAAAGGCATGAGGCCGAGACCTGACATGAGAGCCCCTGATGATTAGTCAACGCAATTCTCTTTTTGTAATGATGTAGGAGTGATTTGAAACAAGTAAATATGTGTTTAAAGTCCACAGCATTGGCTAGGGTTGGAGATAATTCTGTCTTAGAATGATTCATTCACAACATTGTTCCCATGGGGTATTGGAATCATGTCATGTGAAGCTTTAGAGTACAGTAATCCTGACTGTGATAGTTGGGGTCAGTGCTTATGGTTCTCAAAGAGGTTGAGATTTTTTTCAATTGTACTAGAAAGCAAGCCTTGCTGCAGATATTATAATATAATGGCGCTGGAGGGAATAGCGTTTTACAGGCTCTTGACTATTTGGTATTATTTTTTTCTCTGATCTTAACTGTTTTTGTACATAATGTTTTCGTCATCATTTCCTATGACATCAGAACAGCAAACACTAACCTCCATTTGGATGAGGATTTCTACTTCAATGAGTCGGAGGTGAATGACATGCTGCTCATCCCGGACCAGGTCCAAATCCCAGACACTCGAAGATAGAGGAGGCGCAGTTATAGAAGCCGGCATGTGGGATACCTGACAAGACTACGCAGGCGGGTGGATAAACACCTCCTCTACCCTCCGTTCTATTGGCGAATGTGCAATCACTGGAGAATAAACTGGACGAGTTCTGTTCGAGATTATCCTATCAACTTGATCTGAAGAACTGTAATATCCTATGTTTCTCAGAGTCGTGGCTGAACCAAGACATGGAAAATATAAATCTAGCTGGATCTTCGATACATCGGCAGCACAGAGTGGCAGTGTTGGGCAAACTCCTGGAAGGGGGGTGAGTGGGGGGGTGGTGTCTCTTTGTTAACAATAGCTGGTGCACGATCACTAATATTAAGGAAGTCTCAAGGTTCTGCTCGCCTGAGTTAGAATAACTCATGATAAACTGTTGACCCTACTATTTACCAAGAGAGTTTTCATCAATATTTTTCGTAGCTGTCTACTTACCATCACAAACCGATGCTGGCACTAAGACTGCACTCAACGAGCTGTATAGGGCCATAAGCAAACAAGAAAATGCTCACCCAGAGGCGGCGCTCCTAGTGGCAGGAAAACTGAAATCCGTCTTACCTAAGTTCTACCAACATGTCACCCGTGCAAATAATAGAGGCAAAAAAACTCTAGATCACCTTTACTCCACACACAGAGATGCATACAAAGCTCTCCCTCACCCTCCATTTGGCAAATCTTACCATAACTCTATCCTCCTGATTCCTGCTTACAAGCAAAAACTCAAACAGGAAGTACCAGTGACGCGCTCAATACGGAAGTGGTTTGATTAAGCGGATGCTAAGCTACAGGACTGTTTCACTAGCACAGACTGGAATATGTTCAAGGATTCGTTACATTTTAGTCATTTAGCAGACGCTCTTATCCAGAGCAACTTACAGTTTGTGAGTGCATACATTTTTCATACTGGCCCCCGTGAGAAACGAACCCACAACCCTGGCGTTGCAAGCACCATGCTCTACCAAGTGAGCTACAGGGGACCTCATTCATACGATGGCATTGAGGAGTTTATCAGTCACCAGCATCATTAATAAGTGCATTGACAACGTCGTCCCCACATTGACCGTACGTACGTATATATCCCAACCAGAAGTTATGGATTATAGGCAACATCCATACTGAGCTAAAGGGTAGAGCTGCCGCTTTCAAGGAGCGGGACACTAATCTGGACGCTTAAAATAAATCCCGCTACTCCCTCCGACGAACCATCAAACAGGCAAAGCATCAATACAGGACTAAGAGCGAATCCTACTACACCGGCTCTGACGCTCGTCGGATGTGGCAGGACTTGCAAACTATCACGGATTACAAAGGAAAACCCAGCTGTGAGCTCCCCAGTGACGCGAGCCTACGAGACAAACTAAATGCCTTCTATGCTCGCTTCGAGGCTAGCAACACTGAACCATACATGAGAGCACCAGCTGCTCTGGACGTCTGTGTGATCACGCTCTCCATAGGCGATATAAGACCTTTAAACAGGTTAACGTTCACAAGACCGCAGGGCCAGACAGATTACCAGGACGCGTACTCGGAGCATGCACTGACTAGCTGGCAAGTGTCTTAACTGACATTTTCAAACTCTCCCTGACCCAGTCTGTAATACTTACATGTTTCAAGCAGACCACCATAGTCCCTGTGCCTAAGAGCCAAGGTAACCTGTGTAAATGACTATCGCCCCGTAGCACTCACATCTGGACTCACTCCAATTTGCATACCTCACCAACAGATCCACAGATGGCACAATCTCTATTGCACTCCACACTGCCCACCTGGACAAAAGGATCACCTTTGTGCAAATGCTGTTCATTGACTACAGCTCAGCGTTCAACACCATAGGGCCCTCCAAGCTCATCACTAAGCTAAGGACCCTGGGACAGAACACCTTCCTCTGCAACTAGATCCTGGACTTCCTGAGGGTAGGCAACAAGTCATCCGCCACTCTGACTCTCAACACGGGGGCCCCTCAGGGGTGCGTGCTTTGTCCCCTCCTGTACTCCCTGTTCACCCACAACTTTATGGCCGCGCATGACACCAATACCATCGTTAAGTTTGCAGACAACACGACGGTGGTAGGCCTGATGATCACTAACAACAATGAGACAGCCTATAGGGAGGAGGTCAGATACCTGGCAGTGTGGTGCCAGGACAACAACCTCTCCCTCAATGTCAGCAAGTCAAAGGAACTGATCGTGGACTACAGGAAACGGAAGGCAGAGCACGCCCCCATTCACATCGACAGGACTGTAGTGGAGTGGGTCGAGAGCTTCAAGTTCCTCTGTGTCCACATCAGGACCTATCATGGTCCAAACACACCAACACAGTTGTGAAGAGGGTACGACAACGCTTCTTCCTCCCCAGGAGGATAAAAATATTTGGCATGGGTCCTCAGATCCTCAAAAAAACACCTGCACTATTGAGAGCATCTTGACTGGCTGCATCACCGCTTGGTATGACAACTGCTTGGCATCCGACCGTAAGGCACTACAGAGGGTAGTGCGTATGGCCCAGTACATCACAGGGGCCGAGTATCCCTGCCATCCAGGACCTCTATACCAGGTGATGTCAGAGGAAGGCCCTAAAAATTGCCAAAGACTCCAGCCACCCAAGTCATAGACTGTTCTCTCGGTACCGGAGCACCAAGTCTGGGACCAAAATGCTCCTGAACAGCTTCTACCCCCAAGTTATACGTTTGTTGAACAGTTAGTCAAATGGCTACCCTGACTATTTGCATTGACCCCCTTTTTATTTGCACTGACTTTCTTTCACCGACTCAATGCACACTCACTAGACTCTACCCACACACTCACACATACAACACTCTAACATACACACACACACACACACACACTACATTGACGGCACACACACACACACGAACACATTGACAGACTTTCACACTCTTCACACACGCTGCTGCTACTCTGTTTATTATCTATCCTGATTGCCTAGTCACGTTAACCCCTACCTACATGTACATATTACCTCCATTACCTCAACTACCTCGTACCCCAGCACATTGTGTTACTATTTCCTTTTAAATGTTTAGCAAATTGTTCTTACTTTTTAACTCTGCATTGTTGTGTAAGGGCTCATAAGTAAGCATTTCACGGTAAAGTCTACACCTGTCGTATTCAGCGCATGTGACAAATACAATTTGATGTGAGTATATATAACTACAGTGAAATACTGATTCATCACTGTGCCCAGCAAATATAATGATCGTAATTTATTGAATCCTGTAATGGCTCATTGCAGCTAAATGTAACATCTGTTTGATTTTTATTTATTTCTAAGTGCTCTAGAGTGACCTATCGATGGTATCAGCCTTGTTATGGTTTTTCTAAAGCCGTTGCTCTTGTTTGTGTGGTGTATGTAACTCCAGTCACAGAGCGTGGTGAGCCATGGGAATTGTGTCAGTGGTGTAGTGCTATGAAAACAAGCAGCTTTTTCATGCCCACTGGAAAACTCTAACCCCTGCACGATTATATACCTTAAGCTTGGGAGCACAGTCCAGCACTGCAGGCTCCTGCAGATCTCAGAATGCACTGTCCTATCTGGTGGCTCAACCTCTCCTCTCCTCTCCTCTCCTCTCCTCTCCTCTCCTCTCCTCTCCTCTCCTCTCCTCTCCTCTCCTCTCCTCTCCTCTCCTCTCCTCTCCTCTCCTCTCCTCTCCTCGCCCTCCACACAAACAGAGCATGCTGGCCACAGAGAGAACACAGAGTAGAAATGCCAATGCGGTTGCCTGCTCCCACACCTCGTATATCAAACTGCTTTCATCTGTGCCTCTACTCCTCTCGACAGCCTGTAACAATGACAGAGATAGTGCTCATCAGGGAATTCAATGGTTTTGGAGCTGCTGTTTCCCTACATGCTGAGCATTTACAACCTGATTGTGACACAGGCCGTGCAATACAATGGCTCCACGTTGTCTGAAAGCCTGTGAGAAGGAACCAGATCATGGGTACATGGCCCCCTGGGGAAGGGTTAAGGCCCGACTCGTTTTGACAGCCTCAACATCTCTCAAAGACTGGGTAACATGGATCACTTCCTCTGCTGCTCACTGTTCTTGACTCTATGTGGATCAGGAACCATAAGCCTTCAAGGCTTGATATCCTGGGTGCTGGCATATAAATTAGTAGTAAGGTAACAGAGATTCTCTTTGACCCATGCTAAGGATGCTGGAATATAGTTTAAGATATAGTGCCTTTACATTGACACTGAGATTATGTTTATGCAGAACAGTGTTTTCCAAAGGATGGGTCGGGACTCGGGACCCACTGATGGGTAGAGGGCTCCAGGTTAAAGTGTCCCCTAGGTACAGATCTAGGATCAGCTTCCATCACCCAATCCTAACCTTAACCATTAGTGTGGGAAATGCAAAACTGACCCCAGATCAGCATCTAGGGTCAAGACTTGGTTGTGAGTGACTAAAAACATAGATATTGGTGGCATTGGTTAATGATTTGTCACAAATGACAACAGACAGTTATAATGTAGAAAAGTTGGAGAGCTTCTGGTGCAGATGATCGTGTGCGACATTGAGCAATGTATCATGGTGCTGGTGTGGTCCTTTTCATACCAGAGTCTATTCTTTCCTTAAACAGCTGTTCCCTTTCTCTAGTGCTCCATGATTTGTTGCATGTTTCAATCTTTAGTGAATGTCCTCCACTAGGTCTCTTGTCACATGGCTGTCTGTTTTTCCAGGATACACGAAAGAGCTGTTTGATTGAACCGTAGATGGATGGCTAAACTAACTGGCTTAGACACTGCCTCGAAGCTCAACTGCAAAGTTACAATATATAAACATTTATTAAAAGGATAAACTGTTATCTGCACTAAAACTTTGCAAAGCCAATCGGTGTGCTCATAACATTTTAGTCGGTTGTTGTTAAAGCCTGGTCTGTTTGTTGGGCTCCTTCTCTATTTGACATGAGATAAACTATAATGTTTTGTAATGTAATGGTAGATGCTTTGTTTGTGCAATTAAACTTTGATCAACTTTAAATCGTTTATTTCAGTAACCCATTTTGGTACGGTGAGCAAAAATAGTTTTGTGTTGGAAAAAGGATGTTTTTCCTTCCAGAGAGCAGAGGACAGGAGGACCTATCATGCAGAAAAAAGGGGGAAAAGTATGACTTTGAGAGCTTGGAGTTGAAACTGTTATTGGTTAAGGTTAATATTCCTACTGTTGTTCCTTGCTCCTCACTCTGTGTATTACTTCATTTTACTGGAACATTGTTTCTTGACAGCAATCAAATTTAAAATAAATAGTGCCAATAGCTATTTCCTGGATACTTTGACTATTTTTAGTATTACCAAAAAAGGCAAATACCAAAGGACATGAGCACAGAGGCAGCCCTTCTTTCTCCCAGGACATCCACAAGAGAAGAGCTCCCTCCCCCAAGTTGACTTGTTGACTGTTGACTGTTTATTCTCCTTTCCCGTGTACTGTCCTGGGAATAACTAGTGGTAATATTTTATATGACGTACATAATGCATTATAATACACTTGTAATGTGTTAAGATGACACTGACTATTATAATAAGCATCCATAACTCATAAGCGGTTATAAAACTCAATGTTTTATAGATAATGTATTATAATGACGTGTAAGGCAAACGCATTAACCAATTAAACAATGATTTTGAATCTACAAATGTGTTATATTTCCCACAGTATGTGCTCCGTCAGTGGCTTGCTCACAAACTGGACTGGTGTTTCCAACTTGTGGTAAATGAGCTGTACATCCTCATCTCTGCTTTGATTGATCAGTCTGATTGTCAAAAGTAACAATTCTTAACAGGGATCCAGAGAAATCGGTGCAGGCACAATTTGAGAGATTATGTTAGGAAAAATAACAAATCAAATCAAATCGTCTAATGCTTGCTGCTGCTGTAGCTCACAATAATGTAATAATGAAGTGCAATGACCATTAATTTCTACGAATCCTACGCTCACTATTTTTTGATTCCATCTGTTTTCAGATTAGTATGTTTTTCATGTACATTTCACTTGAATAATTGCATTGAAGAGTCACACAGGGGATTCATTTGTACCAAATCTCCTAATTTGTTCCATTATCAAATGCATTGACACAACTGCGTTCCCAATTGTAATCATTTACCTTCTCTTTTCCAGGTGAGGCAAGGATAAAGAAACCGAATACAAAGATGCCTCCCAAACAGGGTAAGAAAGACTTCTTTGCCATGCAAAAATGTAACCCAGGGGAGTCTCAGAGTAGGAATGCTGGTCTAGGATCAGGTCCCCCTGTCCATGAACATGTTATTCATTATGATCTAAAAGGCTAAACGGATCCTTAATCAGCACTCCTACTCTGAGACACTTGATACATATGGCCCTGTACTAAATCTCTCTGGACTACTAAAGAGGGCACAACCAAAATGTCAACAAGCGGTATAGTCCAACAACAGTGATACATGCAGTAGATAGCCTAGAGGACCTGGCCCGTGTGCCAAACACTGGCCATACCTTGCTGCTCTAACTAAGACAGAGTACTGCTCCCTGCTCTGGCAGAGGTCTGGGGGTGCCTGTAATAGCAATCGGAGATCCCCCTCCTCAGCATGCTGTAGTGTGAACCAACCTGCCCTCTAATAACGAGAGCCAGGGGGGGCAAGTCACCCAATCCCAGCAGCTGTTGCAGTTGTGCTTTGTTCGCTGCGGGGAGCTTTAAGGCATTAGCAACGCAATGATATGCTGGGCGTGGGGCGAAGGCGGAAAGCCAGAGGCCTGCCAAACCATCTCAGCCCCCAGGTTAATGGACACACAGTGGGCAGGGGGACACAGACGAATAGACTAATGCTGGTTTTACGCAGAGGTTTGTTCTGATGATAGAGATGTTTCTGGCTGAAGTGACTGTGTGTGTGTGTGTGTGTGTGTGTGTGTGTGTGTGTGTGTGTGTGTGTGTCGTCCAGCTATGCCCCCTCAGATTGTCCAGTTCCCGGACGACATGAAGATTCTGGCAGGGGAGAAGGTGGAAATTCTCTGTAAGTTTGGAGGAGCTCCGCCAATCAACTGCACCTGGCTCAAGTTCCGCAAACCAGTAAGGACCAGTCTGTACTACATTTTTCACAACCTTGATAAAGATGAGCAAAAATGCATGAGAATGCATAAGCAGAAAATAACCCCATACCTACTGTAAACTATGGTGGTGGCTCTTTGATGTTATGGGGCTATTTTGCTTCCACTGGTCCTGGGGCCCTTGTTAAGGTCAACGGCATCATGAACTTTACCCAGTACCAGGACATTTTAGCCAAAGGCCTGGTTGCCTCTGCCAGGAAGCTGAAACTAGGCTGCAAGTGGATCTTCCAGCAAGACAATAACCCCAAGCACACATCAAAATCCACAAAGAAATGGTTAATTGGCCACAAAATCAACATTTTGTGATGGCCATCTCAGTCTCCTGACTTTGAAAACCTGTGGTTTGAATTCAAGAGGGCAGTCCATAAGCGCAGACGAAGGATATCAAGGCTCTGGAAGGATTCTGTATAGAAGAATGGTCTAAGATCTGTCCCAATGTGTTTACTAACTCATAAAACATTTTAGAAAAAGGCTCAGTCCCATTATCCTCGCAAGGTGAGGAGGTATTGAAAGGTTTTGACCCCTACCTTTTAGAGAAAAAAAGTATTACTTGTTAAACAAAATCTCTTTCTCTAAGCAATTGTATATGTATAAAATAATATAATTTCCCTGTTTTTCTTGCATACAATATAACTCAGTATTTGAATTATTTTATACAGTAATTTTTGCTAATCTTTATCAAGGATGTCAATGATTCTGGACCCCACTGACTATAATGCAATGCACCTGTCTATGATTAACTCTAACTGTGATCTGATATTATCTACTATCTACTAGCTCTTATCATTGTACCCTTGAACACTGTTTCAACTAACACATGTCCCCTCTGTGAAATCACTGACCTTATGGCGATGCCTTTGTCTTGTATGCAGATTCAAGAGGTCAAAGGTGATTTAACCATTGAAACCACTGAGGTTACCAGTAAACTGACCATCGCAGACAGCCAGCAGGACCACTGTGGCTGCTACACCATCGAGCTGCGAAACAACTATGGCTTGAGACAGGCAGCTCTCAACCTTACCATTGTTGGTACGTTCCCTTTTTCCAAATCAGGCCTTATATAAATGTAGCCTGTAGGCGCTAGGCAGTGACGCCATTTTTAGCTCCGTTGCTGAGATTCAGAAGACAATTAAGAGTGGCAGAAGTCTTTCCCAGTATAAAATGATATATGGTATAATCCATGATTTAAAAGCACTGCTGCTACTGATACCAATCATTTTATTGTATCTCGTAAAAAATAGCTGTCCTGTAGCTTTGGGGAATGTTGTTGGGGAAGGGAAGGTATGCAGGACGGGCCAGCTCCAACTCTCTAGATCCTAATACTAACAGGCCGCTGCAGGGATCTCCGATGGCCTTTTAAGGTTGTGCTTTCTCTCCAGCTGTTGCTTTAATATGAGGCTCTTTGCCACTGCTGTCAGAGTGGAGTGTATCCAGTCTAACTCAGGGAATACGCCAAAGCCAGGGAAAGAGGAGTTATAGAGCTGCTCCACATAAACGCAACCGCTTATGTGCCCGGAGAACTGTTAATAGCATACAGAGAGGCACAAAGCGCTTGTTAGACACTGGTAAAAACAGCCTACCACTTAGATGCTTGTTAATGTATATAATGTATATGATCCTCGCGTTAGGTTTATGGCCTTGGACTGTATGTATGGAGTATAGAGGTTTAGTTTAGAATTGTTTCATGTAATTTGTGGCCCCTTTTGCAGTGACATTGAATCGTCCCCCATGGCAGAGCTGTTGGTGTCACGCTCTGCTCTTTGGGGCGGATTAGTTTGCTATTTTACAAGGGAGCACTGGGGATTAAGTGGGGGTATGCTTTTAACAGCTTGGGTAACATGGCATCCCTCTAAACAAAGCAGGGAGAATAAGGTACTGTACCTAGCAGACAGTCTGGGGCATATCGTCTGACACCAGCAGTACATAAAACTGATCCAGACTCCATGTGAAGCCTCCCTGTCACTGCTCTCACAGATCATCTGCGCTCACTAACAGTTTCCTGTACTGTGCCTTTAATTGAGAAGCTGCCATTACTGTATATGGTGAAACTGCTGTTGACGAATGGAGTTGGTTCAAAAGGTAGCCACTATAGCCAGACAGGAAGCTGCTTCATTCCCAACAGAGCTGTGCTTTTGTGTGCATGGGGACTACTGAGTACAGACGTTGGTGAATGGAAGGACTGGGAGACCTATCTGTTCAAACCTTCACAAGTCGAGTGACCTTCAAACTCTAGGTCTGGCACCCTATTCCCTATATAGTGCACTACTTTTGACCAGGGCCCAAAAGTAGTGTACTATATAGGGAATAAGGTTCCATTTGGGACTCAGCCTAGAACATGTATCACAACAATGTAAACATGGTTTTGTGTGGCTTATTGAAAGGCCTAGCATTGCGCCTGAGCATGTCCGTCATTTGGCGCGTTGATCTACTGAGTGTCACTGTGTGTTCCAGACAAACCTGATCCCCCTGCACGAGTTCCAGCCGCCTCAGACATCCGCCGCTCCACACTCACACTGTCATGGTACGGCCCCACCTACGACGGGGGCAGCGCGGTCCAGTCCTACAACCTAGAGATATGGAACTCTGTGGATAAGGAGTGGAAGAACCTGGTCTCCTGCAACAGCACCTCCTATAATGTCCAGAACCTGCTGGGTCAGCGCCAGTACAAGTTCAGGGTGCGGGCGGTCAATATCTACGGCATCGGGGAGCCCAGTGCCGAGTCTGAGCCTGTCACAATGTTAGAGGAGGATGTAGAGGGTGAGCTCCCCCTAGTGGCATATATGGTGTACTGACACTCATTGGTAACACTAATAATCACACTCATTGGTAACACTATTATAATAACACTTATTGGTTACTAACAAGCCATTTTCTTTGACATTGTGTCAGACATTGATTTGTATTCATAATAATGATTATTGATTCCAACTAATGACTAATGACATTTCTGATAATTTATTCTAACAGAAAAGGAGGAGGTTGAGGATGATGAAGGTATGTTTAATCTAATCCAAGTTCATATGTAATTGCTTCCTTTAAAAAATCATTTTGGTAACACCTTCTATGATATGTAAAATTGTTATAATGCCTTATAATGCCTTTATAATGTGTTATGACACAGTGACTATTAGCATCCATAATTAATCCTAAGCGTCATGTTCCTATATTCAGACAAAGACCCAGACTACAGAGATGTGACCGTTAGAACAGATGTGAAAGTCAAGGATCTGTATGATGTGGAAGAGCGGCTCGGAACGTGAGTACCCTCCTATCAACAACGACTGTGTCCCAAATGGCACCATATTCCCTATATAGTACACTACTTCTGACCATAGGGCTCTGGTCAAAAGTAGTGCACTATGGAGGTAATAGGCCCTGGTCAGAATTAGTGCACTATATAGGGTATAGGGTGTCAATTGGGACGTAGACAACATGTTGGTCAGCAAAGCATTGGTCCACATTGACATGTATCTACATCTGCAATAGGCCTACTGTGTATACCTCATCCATGATATCCTCTGTATCAGACTCCAAAAAATAATCATTTTCCTTTTCTGTGCTTTAGGGGGAAATTCGGACAGGTATTCAAACTGTTGGAGAAGGCAACGAAAAAGCATTGGGCTGGAAAGTTCATCAAGGCCTACTCTGCAAAAGAGAAAGATAATGTGAGACAAGAGATTGCTATAATGAACTCCCTCCATCACCCCAAACTTGTCCAGTGCATTGATGCCTTCGAAGGCAAGTCGGACATCGTCATGGTTTTGGAAATGTGAGTATATTTAACCCATACTTTACAAAAAGTTGATATTCATTTGGGTTACCCAGGATGCATCCTAAATGGCACCCTATTCCCTATATAGTGCACTACTTTTGACCAGAGCCCTTTGGCTAGAAACATAAGGTTATTTAGTAGATATACAACTGGAATGAATACAGGTGCATTTGAGGATTTCCACTTGGCACTCATGTTAACAAATTACACTACATGACCAGAAGTATGTGGACACCTGCTCGTCGAACATCTCATTCTAAAATCATGGGCATTAATATGGAGTTGTTACCCCTTTGGTGCTATAACAGCCTCCACTCTTCTGGGAAGGCTTTCCACTATATGTTGGAACATTGCAGTGGGGACTTGCTTCCATTCAGCCACAAGAGCATTAGTGAGGTTGGGCACTGATGTTGGCCGATTAGGCCTAGCTCGCAGTCGGCGTTCCAATTCATCCCAAAGGTGTTCGATGGGGTTGAGGTCAGGGCTCTGTGCAGGCCAGTCAAGTTCTTCCACACCGATCTGGACAAACCATTTCTGTATGGACCTCGCTTTGTGCACAGGGGCATTGTCATGCTGAAACAGGAAAGGGCCTTCCCCAAACTGTTGTCACAAGGTTGGAAACACAGAATCGTCTAGAATGTCATTCATTGTATGCTGTAGCATTAAGATTTCCCTTCACTGGAACTAAGGAGCCTGAACCATGAAAAACAGCCCCAGACCATTATTCCTCCTCCACCAAATGTTACAATTGGCACTATGCTTTGGAGAAGGTAGCGTTCTCCTGGCATCCGCCAAACCCAGATTCGTCCATTGGACTGCCAGATGGTGAAGCATGATTCATCACTCCAGAAAACGTGTTTCCACTGCACCAGAGTCCAATGGCGGCGAGCTTTACACCACTCCTGCCGACGCTTGGCATTGCGCATGGTGATCTTAGGCTTGTGTGCAGCTGCTCGGCCATGGAAAGCTATTTCATGAAGCTCCCGACGAACAGTTCTTATGCTAATGTTGCTTCCAGAGGCAGTTTGGAACTTGGTAGTGAGTGTTGCAACCGAGGACAGACGATGTATACGCGCTACGTGCTTCAGCACTCGGCGGTCCCGTTGTGTGGCCTAGCATTTTTCGGCTGAGCCGTTGTTGCTCCTAGATGTTTCCACTTCACAATAACAGCACTTACAGTTAACCGGGGCAGCTCTAGCAGGGCAGAAATGTGATAAAACTGACTTGTTGGAAAGCTCTTCAGTAAGGACATTCTACTGCCAATGTTTATGTATGGAGATTGCATTGCTGTGTGCTCGATTTTATACACCTGTCAGCAACGGGTGTGGCTGAAATAGCCGAATCCACTTATTTTAAGTGATGTAGTGTATCTGAGTATGAAAATGTATATGATAACGTTTATTTTGAGAATGTCAAAGGAAATTGATTTGCATTTAAACATCTCCATTATTCGTGGCTAATGATTCTTTTTGACCAGACAGACACTTCACACAGACAGAAATGTTGGCTTTTTTATGTGGTGATGCTTGGAAAAAGTTCACTTGCCAAGTATTTGAGACATGTAAACACATTAGACTGGTTCATTTCCCCTATTATTTGTATAGCATTATCAAAAGGTAGACTGACACAAGAACAATGGACTCACTTGACTCTATTTTAAAACCGCAATTGTCCATAGTACTAATTTTAGATGATAAAGCTGTCAAAGCTAAAAAATGATATTCGAGATACTCTAAACTGACAAGTATTTGATATCCAGTTAATGATTTTCATATTTGGCTGTAATGTGTTTCGCAGGACCTCAACCATCATTATCTCTCTCTCGTTCTCTGCAGGATCTCTGGCGGGGAGCTGTTTGAGCGTATCATCGATGAAGACTTTGAGCTGACAGAAAGAGAGGTCATTAAGTACATGCTGCAGATCGTGGACGGGGTTCATTACATCCACAAGCAGGGCATCGTCCATCTGGACCTTAAGCCTGAGAATATCATGTGTGTCAACAAGACTGGGAGCACCATCAAACTCATTGACTTCGGCCTCGCTCGCAGACTAGGTATCCAGGCCTCATGTGCACAGGACAATTTCAGAAATAGGGTTGCAAAATTCCGGTAATTTAACCAAAATTCCCAGGTTTCCCAGAAATCCTGGTGGGAGGATTCCCAGATATCCTGCTTATTCCCTCCTGATTCCAACTGGGAAAGTTACTGGAATTTTGCAACCCTATTCAGAATCATAGCAACATCTATCTTTTCAATAACTTCCTATTCTAATGAATGCTAAATAAACACCAACATTTCATTTTTGAAACCGTCTTCCCCTGTGTGCTCCTAGAAAGCTCTGGAACATTGAAAGTTCTGTTTGGAACCCCTGAGTTTGTGGCCCCTGAAGTGATCAACTATGAAGCAATCAGTTACCCAACAGACATGTGGAGTATAGGGGTCATCTGCTACATCCTGTGAGTGTCAAACCAGTTATAACGACCCTTATAACCACTTATAATCACTATAAGTACCCTTATAACCATTCTTACTTGTAATGTTTGGAGGAAGCTTCTATGTTAACACTTTATTTGGTTAATCCCAAATAGATGGTTTGTAAATGTTCAGTAGATGTTGAACTAGCTGTCAACAACATTTCAACAAACTATCCGCTAACCCCAGCCCTAACCTTAACCCTTATCCTAACCCTAACCTAACATTAACCCTAACTGTAACCTAGCAAGGTGTTGCAGTAACAGTTGACAGTTTGTTGATAGTGTGAGCATCTATAGATCATCTATAGGGGACTATCCAAATAAAGTGTGAACGTTACCATGACCGCTAGCCTTAACCCTAATCTTAACCATAAACCTAACATTAAACCTAAACCTAGCAAGCTGTTGCGGTAATATAGTTTGTTGATAATTTGAGCATCTGTAGATAATCTATAGGGCACTATCCAAATAGTCTATTTGCTACCATGTGTCCCTAATCTCAAACCTGCCTTATTGGGTTTCTCTGGGCTTCTTTCCACAGGCAGGCAGGCAGGCAGGCAGGCAGGCAGGGAGACAGGCAGGCAGGCAGGCAGGCAGGCAGGCAGGCAGGCAGGCAGGCAGGCAGGCAGGCAGGGAGTGTGTGTATGGGCCTCTCCATCCTCTATGCCTGTAAATGGATATAGAGACAGAGCAGAGCAATACTCTCTAGTGCCCCAAACCTCTGTGAGGTCTCCTCGGTCCACAAAGATGTATTACAAACTGCTTACATAACAGTGTTAGTAGTGAGGCTCTGTGATCTCTATTGCTTCAGAGATTTCAGGCCTGCATCCCAAACAGCTCCCTATTCCCTATGTAGGGCACTACTTTTGACCAAAGCCCTATGGGAATAAGGTGCCAATAGGGTGCCATTTGGGACGCATACAAGGTTTCATCCATCCTGTTACAGAGTCCTGACTCACTTAGTGGTATACCGATATAGACCTATGTCTAGCATGGAAAACATCTGGGTGTGCCCAATAAGACTGGCTTTGTTGAACATGATGAACACTTACCAAGACTCACCAGTGAGCACTGTTTAGGGTGCCGGCAGGGTGTGGTGCATTTTCCATGCAGAGCAGAAATGTTTTTTGGTAGACCTTGTTGTTCTGCACCTTTTGTAGGTCAAGCATTCATTATACTTCTCTCTCTCTCTCTCTCTCTCTCTCTCTCTCTCTCTCTCTCTCTTTTCCTTTCTTTCTTTCTCTCTCTTTCTTTCTCACTCTCCCTCTCTCCAACCCCCCTCTCTCTCCCTCCATCAGGGTGAGTGGCCTGTCCCCATTCATGGGGGATAACGACAACGAGACCCTTTCCAATGTGACCTCGGCCACCTGGGACTTTGAAGACGACGCCTTCGATGAAATCTCAGACCATGCCAAAGACTTCATTACCAACTTGCTGAAGAAGGATATGAGGTAAGCAACATGATGCTCTCTGAAATACAGCTTGATTAAAGAGCCATGTGTGTCCCAAATGGCACAATATTCCCTACATAGTGCACTACTTTACCATACTTGATCATAATGTAGTGTACTAAATAGGGAATAGGGTGGCATTTGGGTGAAAGCCCCAGTTCTGACATGATTTGAGTGTAAATGTTGTAGAATGTCTTTGATCAGCCTGACAGATGTCTCTGTTTAGATTGTTGAGGTGTCATATATCTGTTATTTAGTCTCCTTTTGCTAACGGTTGCTTTTGACTCTGTTAGCGTCCCAAATGGCACCCTATTCCCCATGTAGTGCACTACTTTTGACCAGGGCTCTGGTCAAAAGTAGTGCACTATATATAGAATAGGGTGCCATTTGGGACGCAGCCCCTATCTCGGTCCAAATCTCTATCTGATGTGTTGTAATACAGTGAGAATAACGTCTTTGCGCCTCTCAATGTTCATGTGTTTCTGTGATCGTAGGGCTAGACTGACATGTGATCAGTGCTATGAGCACCCATGGCTAAAACAAGACACTGGCAAAATGGAGGCCAAGAAGCTGTCCAAGGAGAGGATGAAGAAATACATCTTGAGAAGGAAATGGCAGGTAGGTAACAGCAGAACAGATCATGTGCTGTGTCCCAAATGGCACCCTATGAGCCTTGGTCAAAAGTAGTGCACGATAGAATAGGGTGCCATTTGGGACGTAGACCATGTCTCCTGTTACAGATCAACATATGCCCATCCATCTTTATCACAAGACAAGCACTGTAGTGCGGGGTAGTACATATTAATCCACCCAAACATGTTTGAGATTGAGAATATGTGTTAGATATGGTGCACTATGAGTTTCGCTAAAGTTCCACTATAGGATAGGCTACGAATATAACTGTATTGTTGACTGTTAGCCTACTCTGAGCTTCCAAGTTATGACAAATGAGTCTCACGAAGTCCCTGCAGTTCAACTCCTTCTCTGAGTGCTCACACATGAGTAAACCTCTCATTGTGTTAAACAGTCACCATGGAGGTCCATTAGTATTTCATGAGGTAAAAAATACAAACTGCGAGTATTACTTTGGAAAACTAGAACACAAAACAGTAGAGACCGTGAAAGTGGAGAGATGTCCGATTTATTTGTACCTGTGTTTTGATCAACATGTACAAATCCTGAAGGCAACAATCTCCGTGATCAAGTTATCCACCATGCTTTGTTTATAGTAGCAAACAGTTTTAGGGCCATACATCATAGAGTGCATCCCAAATGGCAGCCCATGCCATATAGCGTGTACTACTATAGACCAGCTCTGGTAAAAAGTAGTGCACTATAAATGGAATAGGGTGCCATTTGGGACACTGCCCTACTCTGTACTTCATGGCCAACTAACAAGACATTTCTTATTGATACAAACAAGGCCATTAATTAATAAGCGTCCCCTTAACATTTCTTGATGATGTCTATTCCTATACCAAGGACTGTTTGTCTGCGAAAGAATGTAACGAGTGTATCATTGATTTCATGGCAGAAAACCGGACATGCAGTGCGGGCCATCGGAAGACTGTCGTCAATGGCGATGTTGGCGGGCGTCAGTGCCAAGAAAGGCTCCCCTACTGAAGGTGGCATGGCGTTTTTTTTTTTTGCTCCTTATGAATGTTCCTAACCTTTCTGTTGTACCCCAGAGCAGGGGATGGCACTCAGCTAGGGGTGTTTGTTTTATTAATGCCACCCTGTGAACATTTGCCCTCCTTTTTTTGGAGCACTTTGGTTGGTACAGTTAGTGGTGCTACCAGTGGAGCTGCTGCTCCTATTCAAACTCAAAGCAGCGCACTGCACCAGTTTTTGTTTAAGTTGTTAAAGTGGCAATATGTAACTTTTTGGGCAACCCGACCAAATTCACATAGAAATGTGAGTTAAAGATCTGTCATTCTCATTGAAAGCAAGTCTAAGAAGTGGTAGATCTGTTGTATGTGCGCTATTTCTATGCTTCCCGTTCTTAAGTTTTGTTTTTGCATCTTTTACTTTCGGTTTTGTACACCAGATTCAAACAGCTGAAACAACAATATTTTTGGTTATGGAAAAGATATTTCACAGCGGTTTGGATGGTACAATGATTCTCTACACTACACTAGCTTATTTTGTCACATAAACTGAAATTAGGGAAACTATTAGAGTTTTAGCAACCAGGAAATGGCCGAGCGATTTCTGCATAGTGCAACTTTAAGTTCAACTTGAGGCAAAATCAATGTGTCATTTTGTTTTCCCCCATTGTCGCATGTTTCATAGAGGACAACCAGTTCCTTGAATGCCTAGAGTATGAGGAGAAAACCCAGGTCAAGCCCACCTTCAGCTCAGTCATCAAGGATGTGGAGGTGGTGGAGGGGAGCGCAGCCAGATTTGACTGCAAGATCGAGGGTAATGTCTCACAACCTCTTCATTTACATACATCACAATCTCCTAATTTACGTATACGTACGTCACAAGTGTTGAATCCATTCATCTGCCATGAAGTCCATCAACCAAACAATAGGACAATATATTTTTAGCAAATCAAATCATTGAATTTGTCACATACACGTGTTTAGCAGATATTATTATTATTATTATTAATATGCCATTTAGCAGATGCTTTTATCCAAAGCGACTTACAGTCATGCGTGCATACATTTTTGTGTATGGGTGGTCCCGGGGATCGAACCCACTACCCTGGCGTTACAAGCGCCGTACTCTACCAGCTGAGCTACAGAGGACCACACAGATGTTATTGCGGGTGTAGCGAAATGCTTGTGCTTCTAGCTCCGACAGTGCAGTAATATCTAACAAGTAATATCTAACAATTTCACAACATATACCCTATACACACAAATCTAGTAAGGAATGGAATTTAGGAATATATACATATATGGACAAGCAATGACAGAGCGGCATGGACTAAAATACAGTAGAATATTATAGAATAGAGTACAGTATATACATATGAGATGAGTAGTGCAAGATATGTAAACATTATTAAAGTGACTAGTGTTCCATTTCTTAAAGTGGCCAGTGATTTCAATAGGCAACAGCAGCCTCTAATGTGCTAGTGATGGCTATTTAACAGTCTGATGGCCTTGAAATAGAAGCTATTTTTCATTCTCTCTGTCCCAGCTTTGATGCATCTGTACTGACCTCGCCTTCTGGATGATAGCGGCCTTCCTTTTTGGCCTTCCTGTGACATCGGGTGATGTAGGTGTCTTGGAGGGCGGGTAGTTTGCCCCCGGTAATGCGTTCGGCAGACCGCACCACCCTCTGGAGAGCCCTGTGGTTGCGGGCGGTGCAATTGCCGTACCAGGCGGTGATATAGCCCGACCGGATGCTCTCAATTGTGCATCTGTAAAAATGTGTGAGGGTTTTAGGTGCCAAGCCAAATTTCTTCAGCCTCCTGAGGTTGAAGAGGCTCTGTTGCACCTTCTTCACCACACTGTCTGCGTGGGTGGACCATTTCAGTTTGTCAGTGATGTGTACGCCAAGGAACTTGAAGCTTTCCACATTCTCCACTGCAGTCCCGTCGATGTGGATAGGGGGGTGCACCCTCTGGTGTTACCTGAAGTCCACGATCATCTCCTTTGTTTTGTTGACGTTGAGTGAGAGGTTATTTTCCTGGCACCACACTCCCAGAGCCCTCACCTCCTCCCTGTAGGCGGTCTCGTCATTGTTGGTAATCAAGCCTACTACTGTTGTGTCGTCTGCAAACTTGATGATTGAGTTGGAGGCGTACTTGGCCACGCAGTCATGGGTGAACAGGGAGTACAGGAGGGGGCTGAGCATGCATCCTTGTGGGGCCCCAGTGTTGAGTATCAGCGAAGTGGAGATGTTGTTTCCTACCTTCACCACCTGGGGGCGGTCCGTCAGGAAGTCCAGGACCCAGTTGCACAGGGCGGAGTTCAGACCCAGGGCCTCAAGCTTAATGATGAGCTTGGAGGGTACTATGGTGTTGAATGCTGAGCTATAGTCAATGAACAGCATTCTTACATGGGTATTCCTCTTGTCCAGATGGGATAGGGCAGTGTGCAGTGTGATGGCGATTGCATCGTCTGTGGATCTATTGGGGCGGTAAGCAAATTTAAGTGGGTCTAGGGTGACAGGTAAGGTAGAGGTGATATGATCATTGACTAGTCTCTCAAAGCACTTCATGATGACAGAGGTGAGTGCTACGGGGTGATAGTCATTTAGTTCAGTTACCTTTGCTTTCTTGGGTACAGGAACAATGGTGGCCATCTTGAAGCATGTGGGAACAGCAGACTGGGAAAGGGAGAGATTGAATATGTCGGTAAACACACCAGCCAGCTGATCTGCGCATGCTCTGAGGACCCGGCTTGGGATGCCGTCTGGGCCGGCAGACTTGCGGGGGTTAACATGCTTAAATGTCTTACTCACGTCGGCCATGGAGAAGGAGAGGCCACAGTCCTTGGTAGTGGGCCTCGTCGGTGGCACTGTGTTATCCTCAAAGCGGGTGAAGAAGGTGTTTAGCTTGTCTGGAAATGAGACGTCGGTGTCGGCGACATGGCTGGTTTTCCTTTTGTAGTCCGTGATTGTCTGTAGACCATGCCACATACGTCTCGTGTCTGAGCCGTTGAATTGCGACTCCACTTTGTCTCTATACTGATGTTTTGCCAGTTTAATTGCCTTGCGGAGTGCGTAGCTACACTGTTTGTATTCTGCCATATTCCCAGTCACCTTGCCATGTTTAAATGCGGTGGTTCACGCTTTCAGTTTTGCGCGAATGCTGCCATCTATCCACGGTTTCTGGTTAGGGTAGGTTTTAAGAGTCACAGTTGGCACAACATCACCTATACACTTCCTGATAAACTCAGTCACCGTTTCAGTGAATTCATCTAAATTATTTTCGCAAGCTACCCGGAACATATCCCAGTCCGCGTGATCAAAACAATCTTGAAGTTTGGATTCCAATTGGTCAGACCAGCGTTGAACAGTCCTTAGCACGGGTCCATAGCACACATAGTGTAAGCTTTGCTCTCAATGGTTGTCCATAGACGTAGGTCAGTAAACCAGGATTAACGACAACAAGGTCATCTGTTTCATCCCATTTGTATTTCTAATACCACCTACATCCTATGACTACCCAATGAGACACACCTTGCATCCCAAATGGCACTCTATTCCCTATATAGTGCACTACTTTTGACCAGAGCCCCATGGGCCTGGGTCAAAAGTAGTGCACTATACAGGGAATAGGGGGTGACATTTGAGACACATCTACAGTATAAAGATTGTTTGTGTTTTCCCAGGCTACCCTGATCCAGAGGTGGTGTGGTACAAAGACGAACAGCCGATCAAAGAAACGCGCCACTTCCAGATCGATTACGACGAGGAGGGCAACTGCAGCCTGGTGATCTCGGAAGTGAACGGCGACGACGATGCCAAATACACTGTCAAGGCTGTCAACAGCCTGGGCGAGGCCACATGCACAGCCGAACTCCTGGTGGAGGTGATGGCGGAGGAGGAGGAGGAGGAGGAGGAGGAATGAGCGGTATGACTGGTACAAGACGAACAGATGATATCCCCTGTTTTTAGCCTTTAATCTCTTTTTTAATGGGTAGTTCCACCAATTAGGTGCCTTTTGAGTAGTGTAGCTTAAAAAAAAACTTTTAAAAAACGTTTTATTTCACCTAATTTTTACATTCTGTCAGAACACATAATAAAAAACATGTTTTCCCATCTTAAGAGGTTAAATAAAAATGTATAGTCAGTAACAGGGTTGACCGTAACAGGGTTGACCGTAACAGGGTTGACCGTAACAGGGTTGACGATTTCTTCTTAAATCATCTATACATTTCCTTGTGACGGGGAATGGAAGCTTGTTGTGTGCAACAGGGAGGGGCAATTGAATGCAAGCTTCACACATTTTTTTAAATTGTTAAAACATTTCTAGCCTGTCTATCTATGGGTAACAGGGTTGATGTGTTATTCTCGAACCACTCCGTTTTCCACCACAAAACACCAGAAAATGTCCAAAAAGAGTAGAACCAGCTCACCTGCTTTTACACTATGATTTGACTATTAGATGTTCAATGTTTCTTTTGAAAAAACTATTTAAAAAGGAATAGTTTCACCATATTAAAACGAGAGTTCAGTTCACGTAACAGGGTTGACCTTAAAATGAGGGACTTTTTTATTTCTTTTTTTACTTCAAATGAATCACTAATCACATGAAATTAAAAATAATAATCAGAAATGACTTTGTCAAAGCAAAGAAAATAACTACGGCTTTACAATGATGGTGAAAACTTGGATAAATGTTGGGATTAAGTGGGGTAAACATTTTCTAGCAGTCACAGAGGGACAACATGCAGAATTTTGGCACTTTAGCAAGTCTTTTATTCATATTAACCCTTTACATTGGCCTGTATGGATAGGGCTAAATTGAAATGTTTCCTACAGAAGAAATATGAAAAGCATATGCATAACTAAAATGTAATGTAAATGTAATAACCATGGTAGCGATGGAAAGGGAACAGTTTCGAGATTATGCCGAAAATATTAGGTCAAAGATGAGGACACAACAATTCATCTGACACAAGACTGAATCCAAACATTACACTGTTGATTTTATGTGCATTTTACATTTAATGTACTTTTCGTCACATTTGTTGATAACAAAATCTGAAAATACTCTGGATACATTCAGTAACATGATAAGAATATTCCTGGAAAATGTGGGGTAGGTGCAACATAAGAAAACAAAATGGCACGGGTTTGAGTGAGAGGACTAACTGGTGGCCTCACACCTCTCCAAAGTGTGCACTGTTCCTAAGAAATTGTAATGCACTTTTATGACTAAAAGAGTCTTCAACTATAAGGTGTTTTTTTTAGATCTCCTAGCTGTGCTGTTGAGGAACTAGAGCAAGCACACTTGTAGTTGTTTTGTTTGGAACACAGCCCTGCATCCCCGCCCTCACACAATTACTGTTGTTGTTTACGGATTCCAAAAACGGTCCATTATAAATCGCAATCTGGGTCAGGTGGGCATAATTTGAAAGCCTGTTCTATTGCCAACATGACTAGCTAAGTTACAACATATGATATTACAGTGTTAGGTTTTCACAATGCAATTCAGGGAAACAGATCATTTTGGTGCGCATAGAAAGGAGTCATGAGTGCATTTAGGTGTGTGCGCCACGGCAAATTTTTCTCACAAACAAACAGGCTCATTCTGTTCAGAACAACCAAGGGTATGACGCCATGTCATCTTGTAACTGTACATCAAACACAGTGATCATAAATGTTGACACTGTATATGACATGAGTTTTATGATATGGAAACGTGAAGTGCACATTTGGACTCACGGGTGTTTGGCTTGCTTGTATGACATTAAAGCAATATTTATTATCATCTTCAACGTCTCATCTTTCAAAATATATAGAGTCCTCTTAATTTACAGCATTTGCCTCACTCAGACAACAAAAATAGAACAAAAGTTGCCCGTTTAGCGGGAGGGATGGGGGCAACTTCTTGTCGCGTGAGGTACTTATGTTTAGAACGGCTTTCAGTCAAAACTCATACAGCGCTGTGAAGCGCAGAGCCAGTGCTCTGACGTCATGTATAGCATGTTACTGTAGTGCCCAAATCTGCAATTTTCAGCCCGTAAACTGGTACGAGTGTAAAGGGCTACAAATCAGATTGATCTCATTTTGCATGTGGTCTATTTTAAAGGGCACTTCGTTTAATATAACAGGCTTTTAAAATGCAATATTTGTGTACAATCTCTACTTAAAATATCAAAGGGATGCAAAAGACACTCATTTCGTGGAATGACCTTAATAGCTGCGTTGCTAAGACACTCACCTTCTCCGACACACTCAGAAATGGGGGCGAAAATGGGCTTGATGACCTTTTGCTATGTTTGTGCACTTTCTTTCTTTTCTACTTATCAGTTATTTCAGATGTTAATATTTATAACATTACCTTGACATTAACCACATTCCAGCTGTTTGTGCTTTATCCATTTATTTAAAGGTATTTGATTTCCTTCAAGTTATCTACATTTTTCTTCCTTAACCAAACAAGCCCAAAGTGACTGGTGTGTTTGTGTTATCAGCATTATTTGCAATTACCCTGGGCTCTTTTAAGAATGATTTTTTTATTTTATTATTATTATTTAAGCACAGAGTCATGTTATCATATTTGAGCATCAGTTTTGAGATCTTCCTTGCAAGCACGTGTCCACGATATTACAAATTTGCAATACTAAACAGACCAGTGAATTATCACACCTAGATTTGTTTTGTATTAGATGTATGTAGATTATATTTCTAAATTTTTTATAAATGTATCATTTTGACGAACTGCAGATTACATGTAATGAGAACACTACAAGTGTAGTTACTCACCATTACTAAATAAATTTTTATCACAAAATCATGCTGGTTGTATTGTGATTGGGATGAGTTTCCTATGGTGTTAGAAGATTGGAGAAATAATGTATTGATTGATTGATTCAAATAAAAATACACATATACACAGTACATTTTTAAAAAATCAAGGTGACTCTATTGCACAATAATGTCATACTTATTTCCGTTGTGGTCACTAGATTTTTTTTTTCCACATTTCAGATCAAGTTTATGAATTTCCTGGCTGGGCTGTGGGACAGTGGATGCGTATTGATAATTAAAATGTAACTGTTAACAGGCATTACCTGTGGATCATCATGAATAACTAACAGCTATCAACCAATCAGCATGCAGGATCCAAACTTAACATTTACATTTACGTCATTTAGCAGACGCTCTTATCCAGAGCGACTTACAAATAGGTGCATTCACCTTATAGCCAGTGGGATCACCACTTTACAATGTTTTTTTGGGTTGGGGTTTGGGTTGGGGTAAGGGGGGGTAGAAGGATTACTTTATCCTATCCCAGGTATTCCGTAAAGAGGTGGGGTTTCAAATGTCTCCGGAAGGTGGTGAGTGACTCCGCTGTCCTGGCGTCGTGAGGGAGCTTGTTCCACCATTGGGGTGCCAGAGCAGCGAACAGTTTTGACTGGGCTGAGCGGGAACTATGCTTCCGCAGAGGTAGGGGAGCCAGCAGGCCAGAGGTGGATGAACGCAATTCCCTCGTTTGGGTGTAGGGACTGATCAGAGCCTGAAGGTACGGAGGTGCCGTTCCCCTCACAGCTCCGTAGGCAAGCACCATGGTCTTGTAGCAGATGCGAGCTTCAACTGGAAGCCAGTGGAGTGTGCGGAGGAGCGGGGTGACGTGAGAGAACTTGGGAAGGTTGAACACCAGACGGGCTGCGGCATTCTGGATGAGTTGTAGGGGTTTAATGGCACAGGCAGGGAGCCCAGCCAACAGCGAGTTGCAGTAATCCAGACGGGAGATGACAAGTGCCTGGATTAGGACCTGTGCCGCTTCCTGTGTAAGGCAGGGTCGTACTCTCCGAATGTTGTAGAGCATGAACCTACATGAACCTTAACGTTTTATAATTAAAGTTTAAACATGAAACATACAACACTTTGATTTATTCAAGAAATATAAATCTTGTGAGGTGAATACAATGTGGTTCTCTCATTCTAAAAATCCATTCCAGTGCAAGGTCGCTAATCTACGTTGGTTTGGAATTCCGGCATAAGTCTCATCAAAATCTTTACAGAACCTTCCCCCCTTCCTTCTCTAGACACAGTGGACATGACCAGACATTTATTCGGACCTGCTTTCAGCATGACATACACAACCAGTGGACAGTAGATCTGAACCTTGTTCTAGACATGGACTGCGATGGTGAATCACATCAGATTGTGGAGAAGCCAACTTAATGAGTTTCTCCTGACCCAGCCCAACACTCCTATCAGTGCCCTCTGACCTCTCCCTTCTCACACCAGTCTCTCCTCCAACACGGAGTGAGCTTCGCTGGGCTCTTTCAAGTTCTGTTTCAGACGCTCCATCTCTCCATCCTTCATCACTATCTCTTTTATTTTCTTCCTCAACACTTATTTCAACTGTATCCAATTCAGTTATTAGTTCTCAAAGTATTGTGATATCTCCCTTGAGCTTCTGGATTACTCCATCTTTCTTCAGATAGTTCTGCAGCTCCTTTTCAAGCTTCTGTGTCATCTCTCTTTCCTCACCCCTCTATCTTTTCTGTATTATTCCCTCCATCTCGCTGACCTTGGCCTCTGCCTCCTGTTAGGTCTGACTGCTGTAGAAACACTCTCTGTTTCATGCCACCATCTTTACCTGCTCCAGCAGATCTGAGACCTGAGGGCCATGGGCACTATCCTTAATGTTGAGGACATGAGTGCTCTGCTCTTTCAGGCCGTCAGCATGGGTGAATAGAATCAGTGTGTCCTCAACAACCCTCCGCAAAAGTCTCCTCCATTCTCTCTAGCAGCCCTTGGGGAGCTCCACTGGTATGACCAGGATGGAAGGCGGGGGTTTTGGGGCATACAGACAGCGAAGAGTCCCACATTCTGTCTCATCTACTCCAGAGAGTTCATGGCAGAACCAGCCTGGAGTGTCCACCAACA